TAGGTGTAAAACTGGAAGGATCAGGCCGACGTCTTCTAAAAACCGCAGTCCTGTCCCAGAGCCATGGACATAAAGATGACTTTTAAGCTTTAGTCATGTCTGTCACTGAGCGACAGGCTGGAGTCGGCGTGGAGGCCGGCGAGGCCCGGGCTGAGGACCTGAGCGCCCAGTGTCCCCAGAGCCCCACGTCTGGAGCCCCCACTTTCAACGGGAGCAGGATGTTTGGCTTTTCCCGCGGGCCGCGCCGGGGCATCTGCCCATGGCGCCCCGACCTCCAGGCCCGCGCCCGACCCCGGGCCGGCGTGTCACTTTCCCACGTTGCTTGTTGTCTTTGAAAAGCTTGGATGCGAAGGAGCTGGTGTTTTAAGCCGTGCCAGGTGACCCTGGTGTCAACCCTCTCAGTGTGACATGAGCATCGTGTCTGGTGTGTACAGGCTGGCGCCCCCCGCTCCCCCATGCGGGGCCTCCCTCAGCATCAGGCCCTCCTGCAGCCCAGAGCAACCGTTGGCCGGGACGCGCCCTGGCCTTGGACAAAATGACAACACCCCCCCCCTCCCGGGTTCTCCAGTTCTCAGGGGACTTTCCTTGGACGGGAGCCCAGCAGAGTGGCTGTACCCAGCGACTGGGGCCGGGTCAGCCCGGTGGGAACTTGGCTGCTCGAGGCCCGAGACCCCCAGGGACAAGCCAGGCCTCTCCTCACCGGCCTCGCCCGCCTGGAGGTGAGCGCACCTGTGTGAGCGCGGCCTGTCCTCGGGGCCTGGAACGGGCAGGCGAGCCCCAAACAGGCGTGGCCGTCCCCACGGGGACCCCAAGCAGAGCCCAGGCAGTGCTGTGGGCCGGGCTGCGCGGTTTCCAGGGAGAATCCGCCGCAGAGAGAGGTAAGCGGAAAGTCCAGGTCCCTGTGACAGCATGGTGGTCTGGACCTCGCCTCTGTCCCAGCCGAACACAGCCCTGCGCCCCAGAAACCCAGGCACCTCACGCAGGTGCTCACTCGGACCCAGTCGGCACCGTGCAAAAGTGCACAGATTCCAGTGAACACGCACCACAGCCTTGCACAGCCTCGCACCTGCTCACACTCACGGCCCGGCTCCAGGGCCTGGCTGGTCACAGAGGGACCAGGTGGGGGGCTCCCAGGGGAGGGGGGTGCGCGAACACCCACACGGACACAGATGGCCGGTCCCTGTGGGGGAAGGACCCGGGATCCCGGCATCCACATCCCCACTTCCCAGCTCAGGAGGCGGCGCTGGGAGCGGGAGCGGCCAGCCCGGGGTGCTGGGCCCCGGTCACTGGGGCCGGGCAGTGCCCGGAGCCAGGATCCACGCCGCCCGAACGACCACCAGGGGGCGCTGCTGGCACACGGTGCGCCTCGGCGCTGCCCCTGCTTCTCCCGCCCCGCCCGCCCGGAGCCTGGTCCCCACACCGTGGCTGCCGGCTCCTCCCAGCGCGGCTGAGCCTCCTTCCTTCCCACGCCCAGGCCCGGCCCCGCCGACCGGCCAGGGTGCGCCCAGGGGAGACGTGTGGACTCCTCGGCGGAGTGGGGAAGGAACCGCTGCTTTGCCGGTTCAGTTGGCCGATCGCCGCATGAAGCCTCTGGCCCAGGCGCAGGTCGCCGATGAGTGCGGCGCCGCCCACGCCATGGCCTTTTGCATAAGCAGGACACCCCACCGTGTCCCCCAGAACTCCCGTGTGGAAGCCCTAACCCCGCGTGATGGCATCAGGAGGGCTTTAGGAAGTCATTGGGTGAGCCCTCATCGGGCAAGACTGTGGCCTTACCGGAAGTGGAAGAGAGGTGCTTCCGGTTCAAGATGGCGGCTCAGGGTGGCCTCCCTGAGAGAGTCCTGATGGCGGTCCAAGATGGCGGTTCAAGCCGAGACCGGATTGGCTCAATGGATAGAGCATCGGCTTGGGGACTGAAAGGTCCCGGGTTTGATTCCGGTCAAGGGCATGTACCTTGGTTGCGGGCATATCCCCAGTAGGGGGTGTGCAAGAGGCGGCTGATTGATGACTCTCTCTCATCAATGTTTCTAACTCTCTATCTCTCTCTCCCTTCCTCTCTGTACAAAATCAATATATTAAAAAAAAAAAAAAAAGATGGTGGCTCAAGATGGCCTCCCTGAGTCCTGATGGCGGTCCAAGATGGCGGCTCAAGGTGGTCCAAGATGGCGGCTCAAGGTGGCCTTCGGCTCCCAAGGAAACACGGAAGCTACAGTCCCACAGGAACAACTTCCTCTGAGAAACCATGACCCCCGTTTACAGACAAGAGGGAGCCCACGCCGAGTGCCGAGGCGCCCCTCAGGCGCCCCCAGGCTCCTCCGCGCGCGCACACAGGCCCCGTGCCCAGAGCCCCTGTATCTTCTGCTCCGTTTTGCTGTGAACCCAAAACTGCTTTAACAGTAAATATTTTTTTTTTTTAAAGCCCTTTTAGTCTTTTAAAGCGGAGAGGAGACCCACGGAGTGGGGAAAGTATGTAAAGTGGAAATAACCGGCCCATCTCTGAAATGCAGGGAGTCTGCCATTGGAGCGGGGAAGAGACCCACTTTAAGCCGAAGGATGAGGCCCTGACGGTCAGGGAGTCCAGGGGCCGCTCCGGGCGAAGGCCGCAGAGGGACGGCGCCATGTCGGACCCGCGGGCTAAAGACGCCTGGAGCCGTCAGACCCAGAGGGACGAGTACCAAGATGGCGCCTGGCGCCGGGACCAGGCGGCACGTAGCGACCAGCGCGGGAGGGGTGACGCAGCAGTTTCAGGGTGTGGTGGGCGGGGCCTCACAGGCGTATGCAGATCAGCCCAGGGCATCATGGGAAACAAGCCTTTATATTCCCAGGCGGCATCGCTTCTCCGCCTTTTGGATAAGCTCAAGTGTAGTATATTCCCAGGCGGCGGGTGTCCCTCCTTCCCCTGGGACGCCCCGCGGAGGGAGGCGCCCGCCGGGTGAGAGGGCCCCGGGAACATGGTGGCGAGAGGGGCGGGGAGTTAAGGGGCCCAAACTGTCCAGTGTGGCCTGGGGCATCTGATAGCTCAGAGGCTGGGTTCTGTGAGGTTCTGTCCGCTTCCATCTTGATTCCTAAGGTTCTGTCTGGTTCCATTAGGTCCTGTCTGGGTCCATCTGGCGCCGTCTGGTTCTGACCGGTGCCATCATGTTCCTGTTTCTTTGTACGTTGTTTTTTGTTAAATAAAACAAGCGTTTTGCATCAAAGCCTTTGAGTCATCCTCAGTAGCCCCAGCTGATTGGCCTGTGGTCTCCGGTCTGGGTTAAATCCCCTGGGCGGTGGGCGGTGGGGAGGTGAGAGCCCTGGTCCGCTCTTTGGTTAGAGGTGGGAGCTGTTTCAGTGTTTATCACGTCCCGTGTAAACAACAAACACAGCCTCACAGAACGCTGTGCTGAGCAGTCATGGACGTGCTCCTGACGTGACACTGAAACCCACAGGCTGAGCCCCGTGGAAAGGATGCTCACAGTCATGAGACAGGCTTGGGCGCCAGCGACCCGGCTCCACAGGCTCCAGGAGGAGCTGCTCTGCAGGTCTGGTCCCCAGGGTGCTGTGGGAAAGGTGCTCCACCGGACGGCAGTGCCAAGTGAGGGAGCAGGCAGGGAGGTTCAGATCCTGCAGAATCCACCACGCCCACCACACAGGTCCGAGAGGGTCTGGTCCACAGGGACAGCTGGGGGCGTGTCCCCAGGGGCGGAGCAGGCTGGGGAGCTGGTGAGTAAAGGGGACAGAATTTCCTTTTGGATCAGAAGATTGTGGAAATGGATTGTGGTGATGGTTGCACAACATTAAATGTTATTAAGGCCACCAGGCAGAGGCCCAGCCTGGGTCTCAACCCTCTCCAGGTCCAGGGGTGCTGGGGTGGGGTGCAGAGACACCCGGGGGAAGGGTCTGGAGGTGACTGCACCTCTCCAGCTGCTGTGTCCCACCCACGTGAGAGCGGCTCAGACCCTCGCTGGGCGGCGCCCTGCTGCCCAGCACCCCCACCTCCTCCTGCCCCTTCCCGCCTCTCCAGCGCCCCCTTTGCTCCTGCATTCTCTTCCCAGGCGCCCCTCCCTGCCTCTCCTGGCACCCCTGCCCGGTTATTAGTATCCATTCACATCCGGCGCTGGCGCAGGCAGAGGTGCAATCCCAGCCCTGGCTGGCGGAGCCTGCGGCGATCAGGAGGGGCACGGGACCGCAGCTGGACTCCCCCAGTCAGAGTCTGGGGCCCCCACAACCCCTGCGTGGCTGCAGGAGCTGACAGGTGAGCATGCGGGGCATCCCGTGTGGGGTGGGGGTGGGATATAGGGGGGCTCAGTAAGGCTTCCTGCCGCTCCTGGGGCTCCGAAGCCAGGTCCCCAGCAGCGGTCTGGAGACGCGAGGCGCCTCCCGGTGCGGCAGCCCCATGGGGAGGCGCCCGGACTCGGCAGGTCCGAGGGAGTCCCCTGCCGGCTGCGCTGGGTCCTGGGCAGCTTCCTGCACCCCAGGCCCAAGTCCCCGCACGGGGGGCCCAGGGGCTGCCCAGTGGGTTCCTGGTCGTCAGACTGGATGCAGAGGGGAAAGCCTGGGCCGGCGTTACCCCGTGTGGATGTGGGCCGCACAAGGGCCTCCCTCCGTTCAGTGTTCCCACAGTCAAGCCTTTTTTTCTTATGAAGATAATGCTCTGACATCAGGCTCCAAGCCATTCTCGTGCCCGCTGTGAGCACTGAGCCGGGAAAAGCCACTTCCTTGCGCCTGGTGGCACAGGGCCACACCACACGGTGCCGCAGGCCCAGCATCCGCAGGGCAGCAGAGTATGTTTTTATTGATGCCAGAGGGGAAGGGAGAGGGAGGGAGAAACATCAAAGATGAGAGAGAATCACTGATCCGCTGCACTGCACGCCCACACTGGGGATCCAGCCCGCAACCCGGGTCTGTGACTGCCGTGACCTGGTTCAACTGCGGGCCCCCGCCGGCCGGGCTGGTCTGCACCGTTAGCAGGCTCCTTTTCCCGCAGGGCAAGCTCGTTGCCCATGGATGACCTCTCTGCTGGGATGGCCCTGAGCCCTGAGGCCACGAGCGGGTTCCCTGTCCTGGCCGCGAGGGGCGGTCCCACGGCCCAGCCACCCAGCAGCCTCAACGCGACACTGAACGGCTCCCAGGCCGGCCCCGCGGCGCCCGGCTCCTTGGAGGACGAGGTGGCCGCAGGCGCCCTCGGGGCAGTGCTCCTGGCCATGGGCGCGGTGGGCGTGGTGGGCAACCTGTACATCCTCGTGGTCCTGGGACGCTTCCCGCGCGCCGCGGCCGCCCTGCGCGCCTATGTGGCGAGCCTGGCGCTGGCCGACCTGCTCTACCTGCTCAGCGTGCCCTTCGTGGTGGCCACCTACGGCGCCCGGCAGTGGCACTTCGGGGACGCGGGCTGCCGCGCGCTGCCCAGCCTGGACCTGCTGACCATGCACGCCAGCAGCTTCACGCTGGTGCTGCTGAGCGCCGAGCGCTGTGCCGCCGTGCTGAGGCCGCTGGACGTGGCCCGGCGTTCCCGGCGCCACCGTGCGGCCCTGGCGCTGGGCGCGTGGCTGCTGGCGCTGCTGCTGGCGCTGCCCATGGGCCTGGCCGTGCGGCTGGCGCGCCGGGGTGGCCGGGCCATCTGCCTGCCGGCCTGGGGCCCGCGCGCGCACCGCGCCTACCTGACGCTGCTCTTCGGCACCAGCATGGCGGGCCCCGGCCTGGCCATCGCGCTGCTGTACGCGCGCCTGGCCCGGGCCTACCGGCGGGCACAGCAGGCTTCCCCACCGCGAGCGCGGCGGCCGCCCGCCCGCCGTGTGCTGCGCCTGGTGCTGGCCATCGTGCTGCTCTTCTGGGCCTGCTTCCTGCCCTTCTGGGCCTGGCAGCTGCTGGCGCAGTACCGCGGGGGCCCGCCGCTCCCGGCCCGCGCCGCCCGCCTCGTCAACTACCTGACCACCTGCCTCACCTACGGCAACAGCTGCCTCAACCCCGTCCTCTACACGCTGCTCACCAGGAACTACCGCGACCTCCGCCGGCGCCCCCGGCCCCCTGCTGCCCCCAGGAGGCCCCCGGGGCCGTCTGCGCCTGAGCTCCCGGCGGGCGGGGTGGCCATCCCCTGCCCGCAGCCCCCTCCCCCGCCCCTGCTGTGCCCAGCCCCGGCCTCCCGCAGGGAATAAGCGCTTTTAGAATAAAGAGATCCGTTCCCTGTGCACGCGGTTAGTGACGGCCTGTGGCAGCAGCTGTCAGGTCTGCAAGGCTGGGCGGCAGGCCTTGTCTGGGTGGTGCCAGCACAGTGCCCGCCGCAGGCCGGGGGAGGGGAGCGTCGGGCCCAGGACTAGGCCCTTCCACCAGGGAGCGCGTGGCATCCGTGTCCGTGTGAGTCAAGTCCGTAACGAGGGAGAACACAGTGACCATCTTCCTAATAAGGCCTGGGAAGACCCAGGACCCAGACCTCAAGGAAAAGATCAATATGTTCCATTAGCCAAGTCCCCTAAAATTCCAACGCAGAGCAAGTCGCTGGGAGGGAGACAGGACGGACCCGGACCCGGGGCACGGTATGGGCATTGCAAATCGAAGGCAGGTCGGGGTCTGACGTGGGGCCAGCGCCCCCTCTGCTGGGAGTCTGCCCTGCAGCCCGGTGGCGACGGGTCTGAGGGGGGCTGGTTCAGCGTCGGTTCAGGAGCCAGAGGCCGGTGACCTGCTCCGTGGATTAGGACGTGGCCACCAGGCGGGAGGGCTGTGCTGAGTTACAGGCGCCGCCCGGAGTGCTGGCCGTGGGGCACACTGAGGATATTGATCAACGGCGGGCGGACGGACCTCCAGGTGGACACGAGGCAGTGGGGCCCTCGGAGATGCTGACCACTCAGTGAGTGCTCTCTGGTCCTCGGCTCCCGTGGGGCGGGACAGAGCTCCGCTGGACCAGAGGCCCAGTGGGCACCAGAGGCCTGGAGGGACTGGCTGGGACTGGGTGCCCAGCGGCATCAGGAGAAGGGCTGGGTGCCAGGCCTGGAGCCCATCCCCACCCACCATGTCCCCGTCCTCAGCCCTCCCCACCCACCCCCGTCCGTGTCCCCGTCCTCAGCCCTCCCCTCATCCGGGAGGGGAAGAGAGAAGGGAGAGGGGAGAGGGGGGAATGGGGAAGAGCCCAGCCAGAAGCAGGAAGTCACAGCCTGGCTGGAGGGCTGGCTCCCACTGTGGCAGCAGGAGGCGCCAGGGCCAGTCTGGTGGCGGTGATGGGTTTACCAGGTGCAGGCACATTCCTGCCCCAAAGGCAGAGTCTGGGTCTAGCAGCTGGTCACGGCCAGGCGGGAGGGGGGTGTGTGTGTGTGTGTGTGTGTGTGGATGGCCAGAGCCCAGCGCCTGGTCCCACCCCCACCTTCAGGGGCCCAGCGGGGGGCAGGGGAGCCCCAGTTGCTGCTTGGAGCAGACATCCAAGCCCGGAGGCTGGGCCCCGCACCCTGCCCCCGTCAGCCACTCTCACAGACACACACTCCACGTTCTGTCCTCCTCTCCGGCTGCACTCCAGGAGTTTACCTAGCCGGGGACATGCTGTTCACCTGCCGGGGGCTCTGCTCCGGCTGACCACCTCCCGGGGCTCCTGGGGAGGCCGCAGTGGGCACAGGTGGCGGCAGAGCCAGGGCAGGGACAGTGACACAGGCGGAGCTGGGCTGCCCGGGCGCCCAGCTGGTGTACAGAGACTGGCCTCCTCACGCCCGGTTCTGACCCGGCTCGGTGCAGGGCGCTGGGTCCCCTCTGCCTGGACGCTCAGGCCCGCAGGAGAAGGTGGGAGCCCAGCCCGTGGTGGGGATACAGGTGGCCAGAGTCTAGCCGGGGGCCCCTTCACCCACAAACCATCCCCCCTGGAGTCAGGGACCCAGGGCCGTGCCCAGGGCAGCCGTTTTCACTGAATTCCAGACGGATGACACTGCGCAGGGCGCCCGGCGGCCGGCCCCAGCCAGTAGCTCCGAGCCGCCTCCCCAGGTGGCGAGGGCCCAGCAGCACAAGGTCAAGCTGGGAGCACCCAGCTCAGTGGGCAGGTGGCCCTGTGCCCCGTGGCGCAGGCACCCGCGTGTGATTGAAAGTCCAGAGCCGGTGTCTCACCCCAGAACTATGTGTCTGCGTGGAACACGGAGGCGCCAGGCGTGGCCCGTGCCAGGAGGCTCCCGGGCCATTGGGACCGGGCCTGGGGGTGGGGGTGGGGGTATCTTGGTTTCTGCCCTGGGCCTCCCAACTCTCTATCCTCACCTCTCGGCCATGTCCCCACCCCAGAAGTCCTGACCGACCCCCGCAGCCCCCCAGGTAATGGGGTCTCTGCTGTGTGCGGTGGGCGGGGGGCAGTGTTGAGGGTTCAGGATGGGGTGGGGGATGCAGGTGGCCCACTTTTTCCTGGGGATGAAGCCACGGTCCCGGAGCCCACCCTGCTGTGCAGGCCCCTTCCTGCGGGAAAATGGGGGCCACAGAAGGGTGGGCCCACACCTTCTTTTCTGTAAACTCAAGGTCGCGGTGAGAAGCTCAGGGTTGGTCTGGAAGCCCTGAGCAGGGGTTGGACCAGGACGGTGGCCTGTGCCCCGCCCCTGCCCCGGCCTGGGGTCGGAGGGTCAGTTTCCCAGCTCGGCCTCCAGCTGCTCTCTGTTGCAGCTCCTCACCGCTGTCCCTGGCTGCCCATTCGGTCCCGGGAGTGAGCCTGTGCCCCCGAGGCCTGCCCACGTGGACCCCCGCCCGGGGCCATGGGGCTGGTTCTGGGGGAGGCGTCCTCACGGGACTGCCCGGCTGGTGTCTCAGGTCCTGGGCCCCAGCCTGCCCAGTGCCCTGCTCCCTTCCCGAGGGAGCCCTGGCCCCACAGGGCATCGTCCCAGCGACGGGACTCAGACCTGGGAGCGGGAGAGGCCCTGAGGGAGCAGACGCCGGCCTGGGAGAAGCTGGCCCCTTCACCTGCTCGTAGGAAACCACCGAGACATTAGCCATTCACATGAAGAGGATGCAAGGCACCTGTTCCCGGGAATGGGGGAGGGAAGGAAGGAGGGAAGAGGGGAGGGGCCGCTGAGGCCGCTACGTGAAGGCCGGGTCGGCGATGCTGTGGTCGGGGTTGCAGGTGAAGGCGATGGTGACAGCGTAGCGGGTGCCCCAGCGCACCCTCTCCACTCGGTGCAGGTTCTCGGACCCCGAGGTGAAGAAGGACACGCGGCCTGGAGAGGAGAGAGAGACGTGGCCCAGCCACGTGTGGCCACATGTGGCCCTGCATCCTGCATCCCGCCAAACCGGCCAGGACCCCGGTGGCGGGGCACAGGGCAGGTGCAGGGTGCGGGGGGCGGGGACAGCAGAGCCGAGGACAGGGTGCCTCACCCTCTGACAGACGGGTCCCCCGGGGTCTCAGCCCAGCGGGCACAGATCCAGGCGAGGCTGGGCACACAGCAGGCGCTCCATAAACGCAGCTCCCGCCCCCGAAACCCCCACGCCGGGCCGCCTGCACGCACCTGCTCTGGGCTCCACCGTCCGGTTGGCGCCCTCCTCCATGAACACGAAGCGGCCCCCGCCGAAGTCCTCCAGGTAGTCGGAGAGGTACAGCAGCGAGGTGTAGTCGAAGGAGCCGTAGGTCACCTGTGGGCGAGGGCGCAGCACCACTGAGCCACCTGCAGCCGCTCCTCCCCCGGGCGCCGGGCGCCAGGCACCCGCACTCCCGCCGCCTCCCGCCGCCTCTGCCTCGGGGCGCCGTCCTCGCACCCGTGTCTGGCCCTGCCTGGGCCCGTGTTTCTGGGGAGCAGCAGGTGCGGGACCCACACACAGCCAACGCTTGACGCGTGGGGCGAGGGCGGCAACAACAGCTCCTGCGTTTTCCTGGGGGAGGGGCAACCCAGCTTTTAAAGACCATGGAGGCCCAGCTGGCGTGGCTCAGGGGCTGAGCATCGACCTATAAGCCAGGAGGTCCCGGTTCGATTCCCAGTCAGGGCACAGGCCCGGGTGCAGGCTCCATCCCCAGTGTGGGGCGTGCAGGAGGCAGCTGATCCATGATTCTCTCTCGTCATGGATGTTTCTCTCTCCCTCTCCCTCTTCTCCGAAACCAATAAAAAAGAACATAAACACACACACAGACAAGAACACGGCGACACGCATCCACAGGGCCACGCTGGGCGCCGGCAGGCGGAGCTGGGCGGCGGGGACAGCGTGCCCCCCGCCCCCCGCCGGCCGCACGGCCACCTTGTCCACGTGCGCGTGCCAGTACTCGTCGTGGGCGGTGCGGGCCTCCGTGCTGTTGATGCGGGAGAAGAAGGTGGGCTTCGTCAGGTACAGCGAGGACGCGCTGATGCCGAAGGCCCGGGCGATGGCGAGCTGGACCTTCTGCCGCACGTCCCTGTGGGGGGACACGGTCAGCGGAGCCGTGGCCCTGGAGGGAGGGTTCCCCGGTGCCCCGTGCCCACCGGGGCTGGACCGAGGAAGGCGGAAGATCGACACGCACACAACACCCCACACGCGTGTCACAGGGCATCGTGTGGGAGACCAGGGCCCTGAGGACCAGCCCCTCGGAGGGCGACACGGCACCGGCGGGCTGGGCAGTGCCAGGGCACAGACGGGCAGCGGCAGGAGGTGAGCGGGCCTGGCCACGCCCACAGGTTCCTGAGCCGCGTGGAGGCCGGGACTGAGGGTGAGCCGTGCACGCCAGGGGCTGGGCTGCCGGAGACACGCCCTCCCTGCATGTGCGGGGCTGGGGTCCAGGCCGCTGCCTGCAGCCCCGTGTCAGGCCCTAACGTGACACCCCAGTGGGACGGCTTGAGTGCGCCCATCGCTCTGACATTTCCAGCCACTGGCCAGCCTGCCACACGTGCCACCAGCTAAGGACACTCCCTCCCACCCGACAGGGCTCTGACTGCACAGACACTTCAGGGACCCTCTCACGCTGGTCTCAGTGAGAGCACGGGGCTGGCCTGGCGGCGTGGCTCCGTGGGAGAGCGGCGACCCAGGAACCAGGAGGTCTCGGTTCGATCCCCGGTCAGGGGACAGGCCCAGGTCACGGGTCGAGCCCGTGGGGTGTGCAGGAGGCAGCGATGGATGTCTCCCTCTGACATCGATGTTCTCTCCCCCGCTTGTGCAGGACCGAGCGGGGAGGGGCTCCTGGGGCGTAAGGAGCGCCGTGGGCCGCCTGGCGTGGTGACCCGCCCGCACTGGCCGCTGCTTCCCGGCCAGGCCCCCACGGGTCATTGGTGGTCAAGACCCACAGAGGCGGTGCTGCCCTGTGCCACATCCCACAGACACACCCCCAGGGCCAGGGTGTCGGGCAGGAGGCGCCCTGCCTGCCCCACCGTCCCCCTCGCGGCCCGGCCCCTCCCGCCCACACTGGGGCCCCTCCTCACCGGTACACCCGGAAGTCCTCTTCGGAGAAGATGTTCTCCACGTTATCCCCGAAGTACCTGAGGAGTGAGGGGTGTTCCCGCCGTGAGGGTCCGTCTCCCCGCGGGAAGCCCATGGCCCCTGGGAGCTGCCGTCCTGCAGGCAGGGTCGTTTCTACGGCGATGCCTGCAGGACACGGGGCAGGGAGGGGCCAGGCTGCCGGCCACGAGGGTGCCCGCCCGGGGCTGCAGGAGCCTGGGCTTCTCCCGGCCCCAAGAGTGGCCGAATCGCTCAGGCCCCACGGAGGCTCACAGGGAGCCGGCCTCCCCTCTCCCGCTCCCCCGTGGCCCCAGGCCTGAGCCCTGAGCAGGTCCCAGCTCCCGAGAGGCCCCGATGCTAGATGGGCCCCTGACGCCTGAGAACAAGGGCCACGCCTTCTGGTCCCTGCGGCTAATGTCACGGCTGCCAGCCTCGCTGGTGCCCCCCCGAGGAGTGCTCAGATGCCGGGTACAAGATGGACGCTCACCTGTACAGGTTCACAAAGTGCTTCCCCACCGACAGCGCGCCCGAGTGCAAGTCCAAGATGGACGCCTGCAGGAGACGCAGAGCGGAGCGTGAGGGCGGCAGCCACGGAGCCTTGCCGGCCCCCAGGACACGGTGCTGAGACCGTCCTCGCGCACCCTGGAGGGACAGCTAGACCCAAGCGTGTGTCGCAGGGTCCGTTCGCTGCACCCGAAGGTCAGCCTGGGGTCCGATTCTGAACACAGCCACAGCCGGTGAGGTGCACCGGCCCCGCCCTGAGGCCCAGCCCTCCCTCTGGAGCTTTGTTCATGGAAAGCCTACAGACAGCTTCTGTTAAAAATAGAGTTCCAGATGCCTCCACACAACCACCAAGACCACAAATGCTCCCTGTCCTTTGGCCCCGGTTCCTGTCCGCCTGCAGGGAGGTCTGTGCGGACCATGCTTATTCTCTTACACAAACGCCCCAGAGCGAAGGGCTGGGCCAGTGCTGTTTTTGTTTTAATCCTCACAGAGGACATTTCTGCCCTGGATTCGTCTTAGAGAGAGAAGGGGAGGGAGGGAGGGAGGAACGTGGACGTCAAAGAGACACACCGATTAGCTGTCTCCTGCACATGCCTTGACCAGGACCGGGGATCAAACCTGCAAACCAGCTACGTGCTTTTGACCAGGAATCGAAACTGAGACCCTTTGGTGAACTGGCCGACACCCTAACCACTTAGCAACACTGGCCAGGGCTGAGTCATAACTTTTTTCTTTTTAATGTACTTTTTTATTGGTTTCAGAAAGGAAGGGAGAGGGAGAGAAAACCATCAATGATGAGAATCTCCCCACGCTCCACGCGCCCGGAGGATCCATGTTCAGGACACCACATGAGATCTCAAGCCAACGAGCACTCAAACGAATGGGATCGCAAGAAAACGAGATTTCAAACTCACGTCCGGTGAGTGAGGGGGTCCCCCATCGGATTCCAGGTCAGGGCACAAGCCTGGATTGTGGGCTCGATCCCCAGGAGGGGGCGTGCAGAGACAGCCGATCAATGTTTCTCTCTCATCGATGTTTCTGTCTCTCTCTGTCTCCCTTCCTCTCTCTGACATAAATAAAGACATACGTTTAAAAAAGGAGGAAAGAGAAAACGGAAGCAGGAGCCGCACACAACTCACCCCTCCGTCAGATCCTCCCAGGGAGAGCCCCTTCTCCGCTATGCTGTGGGAGAGATCATTAAGCCACACTTGTTAACAGTCTCCCCTGCGATGTATCTAAGCAAATCCCGCCACCTCCATGGTCCACGCAACGCTGACCGACTGTTTAATGTCTAGGACAAGCACACGGTTAGACCACAGGACTCAGCTTCCAAAGCCACGTGAGGGAATGGCTGCTCTGTCTTCTGTTGATGACACAGAGCACAGCTCAGGAACAAGCGGGTGCCGTGGCTGGCTGCCGGGCAGAGTGGCTGAGCCACTCCCAGGCGGTCCCTGTCCTGTCTCCACAGGCCGGGGGGCAGCCTCTGAACCTCCATGTCGGGGAGTCGAGGCCCCGCAGCGGGCCTGCTGCCTGACAGGACCACCGACCACGAAGAGCGTCCAGCGCCTTGGGCCGCCCAGGAAACTGCGGGGAGGCCAGCCCAAGCCCGTGCCCCCGCCCACGCCCCCGCCGGAGCGCCCGTGGTGCCGTCTGGACCGGGACCGGGAGCACCTCCCGTCGGGACGGCTGGCCGATGCCAACAATGCCCACCGCACGCAGCCCACGGGCCAGACTCCGCCCCACTCACCACTCGCTTCCAGAGACATTGTGGCTGAACAGCTCGTCGGAAAGTCTACACTTTAAGATCCCGTTTTTAAAATTTCCACCAGGAAAACCCACCAACCTCTGATAAGACTTCCCGCCCCATCTGAGTCACTGCGAGTGGCCGAAGGGCTAATCCCCACCCCGTTTGGGAGGACAGGGAGCCAGCACCTGGTGACCACCCGCTGTGGGCGAACACCCGGCTGGCTGGGACAGAAGCTGAGCGGGGGTGGGGAGGAGAGGGGTGTGCGCCCCACCTGCGGACCCGCCGGGCCTCCTCCCTGGTGATGACAGCATCGCTGACGCCCCGGCCACACTTGATAGGGGAGCAGCCTGGAGAGAGAGGAGCCGGGTGAGGTCACCGATACAATGAAGCCTGAAGACAGAGCCTGAGGGAGGCCCTCCCCGGACAGTGGAGCTTTGTGGGAGGCGGGGGCGGGGGGGGGGGCGCATGATGAGTCCCTCCTTGCTTCTCGTACCTGGGAGAGGAGAGGAGAGGAGAGGAGAGGAGAGGAGAGGAGAGGAGAGGGCTGGTGAAGGGGCTTTAAAACACACGCCCGCTATTTTTTCATTGTGGTAAAACACACATGTCACAAAACGTGCTGCTTTAGCCCTGGCTGGTGTGGCTCAGTGAATAGAGTGTCAGCCTGTGGACTGAGGGGTCCCAGGTTCGGTCAGGGCACATGCCTGGGTTGCAGGCTTGATTCCGAGTGGGGGGTGTGCAGGAGGCAGCCAATGAATAATTCTCATCATTGATGTTTTTCTCTCCCTCTCTTCCTCTCTGAAATCAGTAAAATACGTATTTTTTTAAAGTGCTGCTTTTTTTTTACGGGTGGGTCAATGGCATCGAGGGCGTCCGCCTGCTGTGCAGCTGTCACCCACCATCCCCAGGACCCTGTCATCTTCCCAAACTCGATACCCCATCCCCATTAAACACGAGGTCCTCCTCCCTCGCCCCCATCCCAACTGTTTGCAATGAGGGATTATTAAATGGGCGGGAAGGGAACTGTTCTTCAATCGCAACCGCTGAAAGGGATTTTCCTGAGCCCGGGGACGTCAGAGGGAGAGGCCAGCCAAGGGCCCGCTCCTGTCCAGCTGCTCAGAGGAATGAAAACCAGCCCCCACTTCCTTCCAGTTGCAGCCCCTGGCTTATGTGCATCCCAACAGCGCCCCCTGGTGGGAGCCTGACCCCACCGACCCGCTGCAGCAAAGACCTCACGTTAATCTCAGCATTTCCCGCGAACCTGCCGCCACGCTCTTTCCCCATCACCGGGCGCCGCCTACCTTCAAATCTCCGGTGACTGTTGTAGTCCTCGGAGCAGGGCACCTCAATGAACCGGCCGGGCAGGACCTCGCCTCGGTGAGCCAGGACCTCGGTGATGCCGTCCTCGCCCGCGAGGCTGCCCCAGAGCAGGAGCGCGGCGGCCAGCGCGGCCCCGGCGCCCAGGGCGGCGGCCCGCAGCCACCTCCTCCGCACCTCCCGAGGCGCCCGGGCGCTCTTCATGCTGAGAACAGAACACACACGGTCCCCACCAGGCCTGTGGGTGCTGGACAGAACACACATGGTCCCCACTGGGCCTGTGGGTGCTGGACAGAACACACACGGTCCCCACTGGGCCTGTGGGTGCTGGACAGAACACACACGGTCCCCACTGGGCCTGTGGGTGCTGGACAGAACACACATGGTGCCTATTGGGCCTGTGGGTGCTGGACAGAACGCACATGGTCCCCACTGGGCCTGTGGGTGCTGGGCAGAACAGACATGGTTCCTATCGGGCCTGTGGGTGCTGGACAGAACACACATGGTCCCCACTGGGCCTGTGGGTGCTGGACAGCAGACCATGGTCCCCACCGAGCCTGTAGGTGCTGGACAGAACACACATGGTCCCCACTGCGCCTTTGGGTGCTGAACAGAACACACATGGTCCCCACCGCGCCTGTGGGTGCTGGACAGAACACACACACGGTCCCCACCGCGCCTGTGGATGCTGGACAGCAGACCATGGTCCCCATCGCGCCTGTGGGTGCTGGACAGAACACACATGGTCCCCACCACGCCTGTGGGTGCTGGACAGCAGACCATGGTCCCCACCGCGCCTGTGGGTGCTGGACAGAACACACATGGTCCCCACCGCGCCTGTGGGTGCTGGACAGCAGACCGTGCGGACCGGAGGCCACGGCCACAGGGGCTCACAGCCCAGACCTGGCCCTACACTAACATTGTCAGAGCTGCTGTCAATCAATACAGAGGCACCTGCAGGGGGGGTGTTGGAGGGTAGAACACGGTGAGAATGCACGCGGGGCAGGGGCGTCAGGGAAGGTTTCCGGCGGGGAGCCCTTCTTCCCCGTGACCCCCGGCCCGAGCCACCACGGCTCTGAGCCAGGGCTGCAGGGAGCCTGAGGTGCCGGTGGGAGCGGGGTTCTGCTGGCCCCGCCCACGCCCGCCCCGCCCGCCCGCATAGACCACGCCCACTCTCAGACAGACACGACAGCCCCGCCCCGCTAAAGACCACGCCCATCGTATGATAGACCACGCCCACCGGGCAGCCCCTCCGGCCACGCCCACGGCCCTGCCGCCGCGGCCGCGCTCGCCCCCTTCCCTCCGGGGCTGCCGGTACCTGCTCGGGCGTCTGCGCTCGGCCGTCCCGCTGCCTTCGGGCGCCTTGGGCGCGCCCCTCCGCTGAGGCGCCATCGGGCCAGCCCGCCGCGGAGCCGGGCCGAGCGCGGGAGCCGCCGGGGCCGGGATGAGCGGCGCGTGAGGGAGCGCGAGGCAGGCGCGGCGGGGACACGGGCGACGCGCTCGGCCGTCCACTCCAGGGCTGGCGGCCAGACCCGAGCAATCGCCGGCCGAGCGCTGCGGGCCCGGATCCTCCGCTCCCGTCCCTCCCCGCCCCCTGGAACCCCGGAGCCCCGAGCCTCCGGGTGCAGCGCGTCCCTCCTCCCCCGGCGCCTCCCCCCCCGGGGCCCGCCTCCTCCAGGGCCCGCGCCCTCCGGTCTGACACCCTGGGCGCTGGCACAGCGTGCTCAGTGGCACCCCGAGGCCTCGGGGTGAGGAGTGGGGTCGGAACCTGCCCTGTTAGGACCCTACGATTCTGAACGAGCCGAGATGACCAGGAGGCTCCTTCCTGAGAATTAAGTCGGAAGGTGAGTCATTTGCTGATGCGGGGTGCGGGGTGTGGGGTGCGGGGTGCGCGGGGGCTTTGGGGAGGGTTTGGGGGGGCAGGAAGGAAACCTTCCAGGATCTGCTGACCTGAAAAGAGTCCCCCCTCCCCCCACGCGATTCGGAAACCGGGGCGGGAGCGCATCGCAGGCCACTCAGGCCGCGGGCACCGGCGACAAACCTGCGGACCGGCCTGTGGTCCATGAGAACCGGGAGCGGCCGAGGCCCTGGAAGGACCTGGTGCCTGAGGCTCCTCCCGGAGGGAAGCGGGGCCTCCGCTCTGGTGGAGCTGGCCGCCCCCTGCTCCTCCGCGCCGGGAGCCGGGAGGTTCGGGTTCGGGGCACCGGCTGCGGGCTCAGTGCCCGGCGCGGGGCGTGCAGGAGGCAGCCCATCGGGAAAGCATCAATGTTCCTCTCCCTCTCCCTTCCTCTCTCTCTAAAAAGCAATAATAATAAAAAATAATTCTCACGTGCGACAGTCTCCGCTCTTTGTACTCCATGGAGACAGGAGTAACAGGATTTCTGTCTGAATATGAGATGCACATATGACCAAAGCAGATTTCTCAGCTCGCAAGGCCTCTTTTTATTTATTTATTTATTTATTTATTTATTTTAATTTCTTTATTGATTAGGGTATCACATATTTGTCCTCAACCTCCACATTCCAATTCCCCCCCCCCCACTCCTGCCCCCACACCCCTATTGTCCTTCACCCCTGGTTAGGCTCATATGTATGCACACAAGTCCTTTGGTTGATCTCTCCCTGTACCCCCACCCTCCCTTTGAGGTCCAACAGTCTGACCCATGGCTCCTTATCTCCGTCTGTTCTTGTTCATCAGTCTGTGTTGTTCACCATTTCCTCTAGACGAGTGAGATCATGTGCAAGGCCTCTTTTCAACCTATTCCCTGAAAAACTGGTTTGGTTTGTAAGATTTTATTTTATTTAAAAAAAAAAAAAAAATATATATATATATATATATATATATATTTTACAGAGAGGAAGGGAGAGGGATAGAGGGAGAGTAACATCAATCAGCTGCCTCCTGCACACCTCCTACTGGGGACGTGCCGGCAACCAAGGTACATGCCCTTGACCAGAATCGAACCCCGGACCCTTCATTCTGAAGGCCAAGGTTCTATCCATTGAGCCACACCGGTTAGGGCCAATGGCCTGATTTAAATCCGGGGCAGTTTTCTCTGACCTAGCGGAAATGTTTGCAGATTCTTCGTACAAGTGGTTGACACCAGCTCTAGAAGTGTCAATATTTTTGGTATTATCTAAAGAAAAACAAAACAGAGGATAAACTTTCTACAAAGACATATCATGGGGCCTGAAGTAGTGTTTGCAGACCCCTGCCTGTTCTCACGGATGAGGGCATTTAGGACGGGAGAGTTCCTCGCGGGCCCGCCTGTTACCACAGGCCAGAGCCTCTTACAGGGAACCAGGGGCAGGTCACCCCAAAAGGCAGAGGCCCCTCAGTTGCCGGGAGATGCCCGCCTTGACGTGTGTGCAGAGCAGACCCGGACAGAAGGCAGGGGACCCTGCTCCTAACGCTGACTCTCTCCCCCAGGAAGACGGGCCCAACAAGACATCTTGGTCGTGTGACTTCCCGACAGAGACAGCGAGATGTCGGACTCCTCGCCCTTCAAGATGCGATTTGTTCACCTGGACCTTAAAGGAGCCCCGCCCAAGGTCTCGTACCTCTCGGAGGTGGGAGCCCCTTTTCCCTCGAGGGGAGCCCCTGGGGGGGGTCTCAGGGTATGGACAGTGCCCTGCAGCAGTGTGTGCTGAGGACTCAGCTGCGGGATCTGGCGGGTCACAGGGCAGCCAGGAGAGTAAAAGGAGAAACGGGATGAAGAAACCCCCCAACCTGTTCCCCGTGGGTTGAATGTCCCCCCAAAGGACACGTTCTGATCTGGCCCCTGGCCCCCGGACCGGGACCCGGTTTGGAAAGAGGGTCTTTGCAGACGCGGGGGACAGGAGGTGAGGCTGCACGTGGTTTTGTAATTTGCAGTTAATGACCAGTTACCAGCTGTGTGACGCCTCACAGCTGGTGTTTCCTCAGCTGACGCCCCCCTCCCCTCAGCCTGTCTCAGAACGTCTCGGACAGGAGGGCGAGGGCTTAGGGACAGTCATGTCCGCAGGAGGGGACATGTCAGACCAGCCCCAGGACGGCCCTCGCCGGGGCACAGGCTGCTGTTTCCGTGTCTGCGGGGGGCCTTCCCCGGTGCCACAGGGTGCCTGTCACCCCCCGTGACGCCAGATGGGAAGGAGTCCCAGCTCTGTGTCTAAGACACGGCCTCATCCTAGGAACCTTGAGGGCAGAAGTTCATCTCCTTTGAAACAAAGATGGTGTGCCAAAACCGGTGTGGCTCAGTGGATAGAACATCAGCCTGCGGACTGAAAGGTCCCAGGTTCGATTCCGGTCAAGGACATGTAACTTGCTTGCGGGCACATCCCTAGCAGGGGTGTGCAAGAGGCAGCTGGTCGATGTTTCTCTCTCATCCATGTTTCTAACTCTCCATCCCTCTCTCTTCCTCTCTGTAAAAAATCAATAAAATATATTTTAAAAAAAGAAGAAGAAGAAGAAAAGAAACAAAGATGGCCTAATGGGAGAGGAAGGACACCTGTGAGGTAGCCAGGACCAGCCACACCTGTGCTCCCATTTTATTTTTTTAATAAATTTGTATTGGTGTCAGAGAGGAAGGGAGAGGAGAGAGAGAAACACCAGAGAGAATCATGGATCGGCTGCCTCCTGCGTGCCCCCCCCCCTCCCCCCCCCCGCGGAGAGAGCCCACAACTCAGGCACGTGCCCTGACCGGGAATTGAACTGTGACCTCCTGGTTCGTAGGTCGGCACTCAGCCACTGAGCCACGCCAGCCGGGCCCCCCTTCCTCTAAGTTTCCTTCCAGCCGCACACTACCAACCCCAGCCCTGCCCGTCCCCCGGTCCTGTGAGCGGCTCTGTGCCCTGGGCGGCCTGTCCCTGCTGGCCCAGCCTCCCCCCAGCTCAGCCTTGAACGTGTCACTGTGTTAGAGGGTTTGACTGACATAACACAGTGCACCGTCCAGGGGAGACGTGTCCGGGGGGAAAGTACGGGCAGAGGCCTGTGTCCATAGCTAAAGACGCCGAATGCCCCCGCCGTCACCTCCTCACACCCTTCCTCCCAGGTTTTCCCGCTGTTCAGTGCCCTGGGAGCCAACGGCCTCCTCATCGAGTATGAAGACACGTTTCCCTACGACGGCCCCCTGAGGCTGCTGAGGGCCCCGCACGCCTACAGGTACTGCCTGCCCGGCCGCCACCTGCAGAGAAAACGAGGGTGTGGGCAGGATTTCACGACTAAATCCCACGGGGAGTTTGCCCTGGGGTCCGCCTGCCGACCTGCTCTGTCTGTCCTATGAGTCCTGGTTCAGTGACTCCAGCGTCCAGGGTTTGGGCGAGAGCAGCTGGTAAAAAGCAAATGACACTTGAGGCCCCGACAGCCCAGATCCCAGAGCAGGAGCGTCTCTAAGACCTCAGGACGCCTGGGGAGCTGCTGGGTGTTCGCAGGGTGTTCACTGGGGAGCCCGGGGCTCTGGCGGAGGGCCGGGAGTGAGCGAGCTGGGCCTGTCTCGCAGCCCCTCCGAGGTCACGGAGATCCTGCGTCTGGCTGCCGCGCACGAGCTTGAGGTGGTCCCCTTGGTGCAGACGTTCGGGCACATGGAGGTGAGCGGGAAGGTGCCCAGGTGCGGGGTTCGGGGGCGCTGCGGGGGCTGCGAGACAGGTTCTCAGAAGCCCCTGTGGACGGAAGTTTAGACCCAGACACGGCCTGTCCGGTCCAGGCGTGACCCTCTCTCCCCGTGTGACACACACACACACATACCTGCCCTCCTGCAGTTCGTGCTGAAGCACCGGGCGCTCGCCCACCTCCGGGAAGTGGCGCTTTTCCCCAACACCCTGAACCCGCACAAGGCGGAGGCGCTGGCGCTGGTGGGAGCCATGGTGGACCAGGTGCTTGAGCTGCACCCCGGAGCCCGCTGGCTGCACATCGGCTGCGACGAGGTGGGTGCTGCGTCCGGCCGCCTCCAGGTCCACAGGCCCCGCGTCTCACCCCAAGGCCATCCCCTGCCCCGGGGCTGCTTCTCTTCAATAGAAAAATAGTCCATGCGCCCGATGGAAAAGGGCAGGCCGTGGGGGCATCTGGTTCTTCCCCTCGAGCTGCTGTGGAAGGGACCCTCGAGGGGGAGTTCAGGTCCCGGCGAGGCAGCAGGTGCCCCTGCCCCTGCCTGGGTGCTCTGACCCCGGACGGCAGCCTGGTCGCTCCCCGGCGGGCGGGCTGGTCCGGAGGCAGACGGCCTGCCTTCCCTCCTCCAGGTCTATTACCTCGGGGAGGGCGAGGCCTCGAGGCAGTGGCTGCAGCAGGAGCAGAACACCACGGCCACGCTGTGTCTGTCCCACGTGAAGGCCGTGGCCAGCCACGTGCGGACCCGGCACCCGGCCACGACGCCGCTGGTGTGGGACGACATGCTGCGGGACATCCCCGAGGACCAGCTGTCAGGTCAGCGGCGCGTCCACGGCGGAGGCGCCGGCTGCCACTGAGCCCCGTCTGCTCGGCGCTCTGCCCCGAGTCCAGTCAGAGCCATGGTTTAACTGTTTCCACCCGGAAACGCCCTCCCCTGAAGCCTGGCAGGATGGGAGCGAGCGCTGGGTCCGACCTGGGCGGCCATGAGGCCCGGGCCCTGGCCCTCGAGGTGGGAGGCTGGGCCACAGGCAGCTCTGCTTTCCCTTCCTGCCCCCTGGCCCCGCCCACTCGGCCTCCCCAGCCTGCCCTGCCGGATGCGGGTGAGGTTCCACGCGGGGGGTGGAGGGACGGGGGAGGGGAGCAGCAGCCCCTCCAGCCCGACTCCCGGGCCTGGAGGTTGGTGTGGTCACTCACAGCTCTGGCCAGAGTCCGGCGGTGCCCCAGTGCCACGTGGGGGCCCACCTTCCCAAGGCCCGCCAGCACCCATGTGGCCACCTGGGTTTGATCTCGGGTTTGTTACAATTAAGTCCAATAAGCGCACGTGCCTCTTCAGCCCAGGCCTGGAGACGGGCCACGTGCAGACGGCCGTGCCCCGGGGACGTGCTGGGCCGCGGGCAGGGCAGGGGCTCCGGGGCCGGGCCGCCCAGGGCTGCTGGCTGCTGGCTGAGGCCTTTCCACCGAGAGCAGCAGTGTGGAGCGTGTCCTGGAAAGATGGCGGTGCCCGTCTTCATGCCAGCAGCGGGGGCCGCGGCGTTCTGCCGGCCGGGCACTCACAGCCTCTCGCCCGCAGCGTCCGGGGTGCCGCAGCTGGTGGAGCCTGTGCTCTGGGACTACGGGGCCGACCTGAACGTGCAGGGCAAGGGTCAGTACCGAGCTTCTGGGGTCAACCCCGCCACCTGACGCCCCGGGGGGACACGGGCCTGATTCCTGGCTCCTCAGAGCCTGACCGGCCTCTGCTTCACAGCAGGCTCTGCCCGGGGCCGGGTCCCGGAGAGCGGCCTTGTATCCTGCGGCCGTTCCTCACAGGGTGGCCTGTGAACCGGGGTCCCCGTGGGGCGGGAGGTGGGGTCTGAGGGGGCGTCGTCCAGCTGTGCATGGGCTCCGTGGTTTCCACCCGTGCGCCCGGCGTCGGCCGTGTGTCTCAGGCTTGGTGGCCGCAGCCGCCTCGGCCTCGGCCTTGGCCCCATCCCCATCACACCTCGCGCTGTCTCCCCAGTCCTCCTCATGGAAAAGTACCGGAAGAGCGGCTTTCCCCGGATGTGGGCCGCCAGTGCCTTCAAGGGGGCCACGGGGCCGAGCCAGGCCCTGCCCCCCGTCGAGTACCACCTCCAGAACAACCTGCGGTGGCTGCAGGTGGCGGCCCAGGGGCAGAAAGACACCCTGCAGGGCATCGTCCTGACAGGCTGGCAGAGGTGAGGGTGCTTGGGGCTGTCCTGGAGGGTGAGGCAGTGCCCGAGGCCAGGACACCCCGCCCTCCTCACCACCCGGGACACACTGGGCCTCTGACCAGGAGGGACGGGCAGATGCTCTGCGGATGGCGGGGGAGCCCCCCACTCTGCCCAGGGCAGGCTGCCCTCTGGCCCCCCTGGGACCCGAGTGCCTGCCCACAGTCCGCAGCCTCCGTGAGGCCACACACGACTCACGCTCATGCGGGGACCCGACGGACACTGGCTCTTTACTTCATGCCAGTTGCAAACCTGAGCTATGAGTGGACCCTGGTCCTGGCCACGGGTGCCATCTAGGATTGGGGTCAGAGGAGAGGCCACGGGTTCCCCTGGCACCCGGGCAGGCAGAGCGACCCCAGGGCAGCTGGAGGCAGGGCCTTTGAGCCGAACTCTGAGGGTCCAGGGTGGTGACCACAGAGCGCTGAGCCAGGCTGGGCGGCGGGTGGGCCTGCACACCCGGGAGCCAAGGGCATATCCGGAGGCAGCAGCCAGCTCTCAGGCCTCCTCGGTGCCGGTGCCGGACGGAGCGGGAGCGCCAGCTGAGCGCCCCCTCCTGTGGCTCAGGTACGACCACTTCGCGGTGCTGTGTGAGCTGCTGCCCGTGGCCATCCCGTCCCTGGCCGTGTGTCTGCAGTCGCTCCTACACGGTAAGGCGCTGCTCCCCCGGAGGCGGGGCTGGCCGTGGCCTTCCTCAGGGGCTCCCCACCCGCCGCCCAGGCATCCAAGCCCAAACCCAAGACAGGCTCGGAAGTTGGGGGAACGTGTCCCCGGACACAGTGAACCCTGAGAAACCCATGCTGCTGGGGAAGGAAGGTGCTTCTGCCTCGGCTGCAGGGACATTGGGGTGCGGGGGGCTGGGGCCTGTCTCCCGCCAGAGCCGTCAGTGCCCAGGGCGGTGATGACCTGCCACCTGCTTGGCTCCAGGCGGCTTCTCGGAGGATGTGCAGGCGCAGGTGCAGAACCTGCTGGGGATCCCCACCATGGAAGTCGCCGATGTCACAAGGTGATCCCCCCCCCCCCCCCCCCCGCCTCAGCACTGCCCCTCCCCCCACACCCGGCCCCCTCTCAGCGCCCGGCTCTCTGTGCAGCGAGGGGGTCGGGTCCTTCCCCGGCAGCGACATCCTGGCCCTCGTCACGCACGTCAGCCTGGACCTGCGCAGCTCCGTGGACGAGGTGCTGCGGAGGGATAGGTGAGCGCGGGCGCGGGCGTGGCCGAGGGGGACACAGGGGAGCGGCTGAGAGGGAGCTGACTCAGGGATCCTCACTCAGGGTGTGCCCCCCACACACCCAGGGTGAGGGCCTGCCCATCCTTCACCAGAACTTCCTGGGAAAACAACTTGTTCAATGTCCAGGAGACACTGAGTGACCTCCGTCCTTGTGTCCACCCGTGTGGCTCTCCCCCAGGTACGTGACTGGCTGGTTCAGCCACTACCACCGCCGGCGGAAGCTCGTCCACCCGGTCATGATCCAGCACATCCAGCCCCAGGCACTCAGGTAGCCGTGCCCCCGCCCCCCCCTACCCCCCCTGAGCGGGCGCCTCTGCCGCACGGGGCCAGCGCTCGGGGCCATCGGCTCCTGAGCCTGGATTCCCAGGTGCCCCTGAACATTAGCGAAGCCAGGTGTTCCCAGCCTGAGGAGGGAGGTGACAGAATGACTGGGCAGGGTCCAGGTTCACCGTGGAGCCAGACACCGGGGCCTACAGCTGGCATGAGCCCGCGTCCTCCCTGGCACCAAGGAGACAGGGTCCTGCCAGCCAGTCCTCTGGGCACTGGGCGCTGTGCAGACTGTCCCGCTGTGTGAGTGCTGAGCACTGCTGATGGTGGAGGTCTTAAGAAAACCCCAGGTTCAGGAGTTAAACTGAGTCCTCAGTCATTGACTCCCAGCAGTGCGGCAGCCCGGGGCCCGGGTGGGTAGACTGAGGCACGGCCGCTTGGAGCATGGGCCCCTCACCCCTGCCGGTGTCAGTCTCCTGGGCAGGTGGAGCGCCCTCGCGCATGAGCTGGCGGCCGCCCTGCGCCGTGTGTTCCCCGAGGGCGCCGTGGAGGAGTGGCTGCAGGAGAACGTGCACCCCAGCTTAAAGCAGCTGCAGGCGCTGCTGCAGGACCTGCAGGCTGCCAGTCCCCCACCCCCACCGGCCAGCCCCCCGCCAGCCAGCCCCAACGGCCCCGCCAATGCTGACCAGGGCCCCTGAGGGCAGGGGCCTCCCACACCCCGTCAGCTCTGTCTGGCCCAACCCCCCTCCTGCTGCGCCCGGACGCCAGGCAGCAGGCCCAGCCCCCGCCGTGCCCATGCCGGAGGTGACCATGGGGAGAAGGCGGCTGAACCAGGAAGGAAACGCCCGTAGGGACCCGCTCACTGATCTGCACGTAGAACTTTAATTCTCGTGAAATAAAAAGGAGAGGAAAAGCTAGAGGTTGTGCTGGCAGGAGCGTGGCCTCTCACCGCCTGGTGTTCACAGGGCCCGGCGAGGGCCCACAGTCCCGCGGGGGGCGGGGAGGGGCCCGAGGCCTGCCTGCCCCCTCCCGGAGCCGCTCAGCCTCAGGAGGGCAGTCCTGCACAGCTCAGCCAGCGGTTCACGTGGAACACACTAGCAGGTCTAGCAACATGTTCCCAAGCCCAGGTGGTCGCAGCCCCTGCTGAGGGGAGATGGTAGAGGCTGCAGTCCGTGTCCCCAGGCAGCGGCAGCCCCATGGGCAATCCGGGCTCTGCCCGCTGCACCGGCTGGGGGTGCTCGGTGCCCAGTTCTGTGGGTGCGGCCCACTTCCTGCCCCACAAACAGGCCCAGCTGACAGGTCTCTGTCTTCTCAGAGCGAGGTCCCAGCCTGAACCTGTGCATGAGGCTGGGAGAACCTCTCCTCGCCAAGTGGGCGTGGCCCAGCTGAGGGGATGGCATAGGAAGGGGAGGGACCCGCCCCCAGACAGCCCATCACATCCTGGTTGGTCCAGTGGATTCCCCGGGACGTGCGGCCAGCCAATCGGGGGCGGGAACACCAGCCTCAGGCCATGCCCTGGGGAGCCCGCTCCCCTCCCCTTTCAGAGGCTGGAGCATGCCCAGTTGGTGGGCTGTGGGGTGGGTCAGCCCAGACCAGCCACAGAGGAGTGGCCCAGGGCCCCGCCGGGGGCTGCCGGGACACGCTGGGTGGTGAGGAGGCTGGCCTGCTGGGGCCCCATCGGATCCACGCCGGGGCGCCGGGTCAGCCCTGCTCGGCGGGGCCCTCGGCCTCGCTGTCGCTGCTCGGAGACAGCTCCTCGGGGCTCTCTGGGCGGTGCAGGTCCAGGAAGCTGGTGATGAGCCTGGCAATGGCCTCCACGTCACTGGGCCGGCAGCACCGGAGGAAGGGCGGTTACCACGAGGGCGGTGCACCCAGAGACCACAGCCGCTCCCCCAAACCATGCACTGCCCACCCAAGAGCTCTCCACCGGATCGGCACCTTCCGTCCCGGTCGCCATCCTCACCTGACCCAGCCCCGCCCCAGTCCTGTGGGAGCCCCTGGAGGCCCCCATGCTCTGCCTGTCCTTCGGGGACCCTGGCATCGCCTTGTGGTGGTGGCACACCTACCCCAGCCTCCCCAGCCCTCTGCCCCTGTGCCCGCCACGCCGGGCAGTCTGTGGTTGTGGGCGAGGGCCCCGCCACGCCGGGCGGTCTGTGGTTGTGGGCGAGGGCCCCGCCGCGCTGGCAGTCCCGTCCCGTCCCCGCTCACCTGTGGTGGCCCATGACGGCGCTCTGGGTGAGGGGGTGGGAGAAGCCGGTGGAGAAGCGCAGCACCACCACGTAGCCCTTCCCGAAGTAGCGCACCTTCTCCTCCTCCACGTTCACGTCCCGGATGTCGTTCAGCAGGACCACCACTGGGGGGCAGGGCAGGCGGGTCAGGGGCAGCGTCCCTCACCTGGGTGTGGGCACAGTCCCTTCCGGGCCACTCTGCAGAGGACCACGCCACGCTGGCCATAAACAGCGTCGGCCACTGTGTCCGAGGCTGAACCCCAGAAGACAGGCGAGACCCCGACCTCTGGTGTCAGGGCAGGGGCCACGGTGCAGGGTCCTGCAGCTGCCGGGCGATGGCCAGGCTGGTGAGAAGGAGCATCTGGCCCACCGTGGCCCCGAAAGGCCTGCCTGTCCATCTCTCTGCTTCATCTCAGCGGCGGAAGCCTGAGTGGCCGGGCTGTGTTGAGGGGTCCCCACGTCCCCCCATGGGCGGATACAACCCTGACTGCTCAGCCGTCACTCAGCCCTGGCCGCCCCGTCCAGCCTGGGGTAGCCCGTGTCCCGTTCCGTGCCGACGCCTCACCCTGGTCGTGGCCTGCTCGGAGGAGGGTCAGCAGCTTCTTGTACAGGCTGAACGTCTTCAGCACGACCTTGCCGGTGCTCTTGTCGAAGATGGCTTCCTGGAAACGGCCACGGGTCACCCGGCTGCTGGCCGCCGGGCGGGAGCCGCCCACAGGATCCCGGGAGGGCCCGGCTCACCGACTGTCCCACCCTCGCCTTTCCCATCCCAACGCCAGCGCCCACGCTGCTCTGCCAGAGCCAAACACCTGCAGCCTGACCGAGGCTCCGGACAGGAGTGAGCAGGGGCCTGGGGCCTGAGGCAGGTGCTCAGGTCAAGGACAGGGGCCAAGGTTACCCAGCAAGGGAACGGGTCAGAGAGCAGCACTGGACCAGGCAGCTCAAAGGACCATGAAGAGGGACAAGGACAGGGGTGGCCCCCGAGCAAGCGGCCCGTGTCACTGCGCCACGGCGACCTCGGGAGGAGAGGATCTGGCTAAGAACAGCCACGAGGAGCTTCTAGGGGAAAAACGGCTCCAGAGGACGCCGTGGCCCAGGAGCAGTGAGGACAGGCACCGGGGCTGCGCCCGGGCACGGAGCCCCGGCGCTGTCTCAGCAGGGAGCCAGGTGGCCGGGGCCTCACCTCCCAGTCCTCCAGGTTCTGCACGGCCACGAACAGGCAGCCGGTGACGTAGAAGATCTTCCAGCCCAGGCTGTCTGGGGACAAACAGACGCGGCCACGTGAGAGCAGAGGCGCAGGCGGTGGGCCCGCGGGGGTCCCTCTCCCAGGACCGCCACTCTGCCTGTCACTCAGGGCCACGTGGGACACACCCCTCCAGTTCCGCCCGCGCTCCCCCTGGCGGCTACTGGAGACGGGCAGCCGGTCTCTGCCAATCACAGCATGGCTTGTGGAGGGGAAAGGAGGGGAGGCTGAGTGTATGGCTCACCCCGCAACGAGCCTACGCAGATACGAGAGGGCACCCTCTCGAGGAACGTTTTCAGACCCAGGGAAATGCCCAGATACAAGTGGGAAGTGCTGGGCGTGAGGCACACAGAGCTGCGGCTGCGCGGCCCCCCCCCCCCCCCCCCCGTCCCTCCGGTGTTCCCAGAGGCCAGGCCTTGGTGGGCCAGGAATGACGGGCTTTCCTTCTTTTCTCCGTTTTCCATGAGCGAGGAGGTTGTGGGGAGCAGGCGCGGCTTCTCACCTGCACTGTAGTAGGCAGCCGCCAGGCCAATGGACAGGATTCCTGCGGAGAGGAAGCAGGGATCTTGCTGCCGGGCCACCGCCATCCCACCTCCATCCCGGAAGGAGGAGCCCAACGTGGGCATTACTCCAACAGTGTCAAGTGTGGAATGAAGACAGGACTACTAAAGGGTCACAACACATCAGCTGAGGAGAAAAACGGAGGAGCCACATGCAGAGTCATGGGAAGGCAAGGCTGGAGACAGGCTGCTGGAGGCCGGCGGCTCTGCTTACACCCACCATCCAGGCCACCAGGTAGCTGCCCAGGTGTACAGAGCCCTCTGATGGGCAGCGACGGGATGGAGGCCAGGGCAGCCTCTCCCACGTGGGCGAGAAACAGAACATGGGCCTTCGGGTAAAGCAGGCACCTGTGAGCAGGTGCGCAAGAGCAAGTGAAAGGGGAACGTGGCCCGGCCATGTGGCTCAGTTGGCTGAGTGTGGTCCCATGCACCAGAGGGTCACAGGTTCAATTCCCGGTGGGGGCATATGAGGTTGCAGGCCTGATCCCCAGCAGGGGGGCATGAGGCAGCCAGTCGAGGTTGCTCTCTCTCTCTCCCTTCTCCTCTATAAAATCACTAAAAACGTGTTTTTAAAAGTGTATGTGTAGGGTAACATGGGCCTTCCGTGTTAACTAAAGGATGTCAAGTGGTGCACAAGGCAAAACAGACACCCATCACCCATCACAGCACAGACAGAGGATGAAAACAAACAGGACAGCGGCTGTGTATGGGGGTCGGCAGTAAAACAAGGAAAACGTGAGTTTCATCTTCACCTGTTTTTAAAGTTAGGTTTTTTATTTGGGGTGAAATATGGGAAGAAACCCTTACCGACCAGCAGGGACCAGGACCGGATGCCCGGCGCCCTCTTCAGGTGGAGGCGGGAGCTGGAGAGCGTCTCCACCAGCATGTACATCCCGGGGCCGCGCGGACACACTCAGCGGAGGCCGGCTGCGGAGGGCGGGCGCGGACAGCTGGGGCCAGGCCGGACCAGGCCGTGCAGCTGGGGACCCAGCGGGCCCCCCGATCCCGATCCCGGGGTGGGGGCCGCTTCCCCTGTGACAGGCCCTGCCCTGCTCCGCTACGCGGACCGCACTCTGTCCGCGGGCGCCGCCCCTCCGCCCCCGTCTACCTGCCACCTGTCTCAGCCCCCTGACCTCAAGCTCCGGCCCCAGACCCTGGCGGGCCGCCCTCGCCTCCCGCGCCGGCCCCGCCAGAAGCCGGAACTGCGGGGCTCGTCCCGGCGGGACCTGCCGCGCAGCGACCCCAGGCTCCGTCCCGCCCCTGCAGCCCCTGCAGCCCCTGCAGCCCCGCGCCCACGCCCCCCGCCGGCACCTACCACCGAGAACGCGGACCGGCGGCGCGGGACGGAGCCTGGGGCCACGGGGCGGGCGCTCACTTCCGGGTCTGGGCGGGGGCGGGGGCGGGCCCGGCTTCCGGGGCGGGGCCTGGGGAGCGGGAGGGGAAGCGGAGGGGATGCTGAGCTCCTGGTGGACGCGAGGCGGTGGCGCGTCCTCCCAACGGCCGGGCTCTGGCGCAAGGAGTGGGGAAACGGCCACGGCGCCCACTTCCGCGTTTAATCCCCGGGGAGGGAGGAGGAGGACCGGCCCCGCCAGCCCCCGGGGAGGGAGGGGGAGGACCGGCCCCGCCAGCCCGGCGCCCGGCAGCAGAGCGGCAGGTGCACCGCGGAGCTCTCGGCGGCCCGCCCCGGGCAGGCGCTCCGCGGCCCCCTGCCTGGAGGCCAGCACTGCGCGGTGTGGGGATGGATTTGACAGGGTCCGTTCAGGAGAGGGAAACCGCCCCATATTTTGAACAGAGGATTTAGTCTAATGAATTAATAACTGGGGGTTGTACCAAGGGAGGCTGATAGGAAGTAAACAGAGCAGGCACTGAAGTTTGAATTTGGAGCTGACATATAAAGCATGGATAACAGGCACGATATGCAGAATATCGATATGCACGATATTCACTCAGTCTACTATTTATAGAGATCGTATTTATTTCCAGTCTTTTGCTCTTAACAATAGTCATCAAGATTTTAACCAAATCAGATATCTCTTGCTCCCTTATTTAATATTGGTAGAATGCCAGTGCAGACTTCATATTTAAATGCTTAGAAAACGTGGAATTATGCAAATAACAATATGCAAAGTGGAATTTTCCAGGGTATCAACTTAACAAACACAAACCAGCCCTAGCTAGCTTGGCTCTGTGGATAGAGCATCAGACTGCGGACTGAAGGGTTCCAGGTTCAATTCTTGTCAAGAGCATATACCAGAGTTTCATGCTCAGTCTCAGATGGGGGGCGTGCAGAAGGCAGCCGGTCAATAATTCTCTCATCACTAATGTTTCTAATTCTCCATTTTTCTCTGAAACCAATAAATATATATATTTTAAAAAGAAACACACAAATCTAAATCAATTAAATAGAGATTATTGGAACATATTGGACCTTATTTAGACCCAACTTAAACTAAAAAAAGAATGAAATGCTTGGGGAAACCTAGACACTGACTGCATTTTTTTTTCAAAATATATTCTTATTGATTTCAGAGAGGAAGGAAGAAAGAGAGAAAGAGATACAGAAATGTCAGTGATGCCAGGACCGGTTTGGCTCAGTGGATAGAGCGTTGGCCTGCGGACTGAAAGGTCCCGGGTTCGATTCCGGGCAAGGGCATGTACCTTGGCTGTGGGCACATCCCCGGTGCGGGGTGTGCAAGAGGCAGCTGATCGATGATTCTCTCTCATCGATGTTTCTAACTCTCTCTCTCTCTTCCTCTCTGTGAAAAATCAATAAAAATATATTAAAAAAAAGAAAAAAAAGAAATGTCAGTGATGACAGAGAATCATTGATTGGGTGCCTCTGGCATTCCCCTCCCCCCAGGATCCAGCCCGAAATCCAGGCATGTGCCTTTGACCGGGAACCAAATCCAGGACCCTGCAGTCTGCAGGCCCTCGCTGTATCCACTGAGCCAAACCAGCTGGGGTGACGCTATGTTTTTAAATGAAATTAAATGCCTGTACTTTGCTTTCTTCCCTCCCCTCCACATTATGGCATTCTTTGTTTTCAAAACATTAACAAAAATATATACAGCCCTGACTTGTTTGGCTCCGTGGACAGAGTGTCAGCCTGCAAACTGAAGGGTCCTGGGTTTAATTCCAGTCAAGAGCATGTACCTTCATTGTGGGCACATCCCCAGTAGGGTGTGTGCAGGGGGCAGCTGATGGTGTTTCTCTATCATCGACGTTTCTGCCTATCCCTCTCCCTTTCTGTTAAAAAATATATATATAAACTACCTAAAATTATCTTCTTACTCATGCTGAAATGGAAGATATCTTCCTAGTGGTGCTGACATAGATTTAAGCAAAGGAGAATGTTAAGACTTGAATTAAAGGGATGCATTTTGTTAATGAAAAAAAATATTGAAACCTGTAAAGAATTTTAATGAGTTTATTTGAGCCAAACTGTTGACATATGCCGGGAAGCAGAACCTCAACGGTAATGCTCTGAAGAATGGCAGGTTACATTTCTCTGTTTATACACTGAAATCAAAGGAGGGACAGAGGTGGGTTACATGAAATTCATTGGTGATGGAGTAAGGAGGCAGGAGAAAGCAAAGCGATGGGAAACTCCTGGGATTGGATAAAAAGTGAAATGATGGACGAGTACTTAGATGAGTGCAGGAACAATTAACATAACAAAGGAATTTGAGGCATCCGTCCTGGCTCCCACCACATTTGGTTGTGCCCCAGAGGCTCCGGAAAAAGGGAAGTTACAAGATACCCAGACATCTCATAGATACGTTATCTTAGAGGCCCTAAGGCAGATGGGCTCAGTAAAAAAGATCTAAGCTGATCTTTGTCAGGTGAGATATCAGCCTAGAACATGACTACCCACTATAACCTATTTGTAGTTAGATATTTCATTTTCAAACCATCTTTTGTGGTTATTTTAGGTCTGAGTTTGCAAGGCTGCCACACAGGCCTCCCCTGAGCTTGTCAGGTTAGCATGTGGCTCTTTTCCTTCACAACTTATAAAAAGCTGTATGCACCCAAAACTCTCTATATAAATAAAAAAAAATTTTTAATGGGGAAAATTCTGAAGACCCTGGTGAGGTTTCTGGGACCTGGACTAGCCTTCAAATATTCTGTTGACCTCTGGGATTGTGAGGTTCTGGGATTCCCGAGGAATGCTGGTGTCTGATAAAGACAAAGACACCCACGAGATCCTTGGCTTCCTCTCCCCTGAATGCTTCCGGCCTGTTCTCAGTTCTGCTGGTCCTGGAGGCGTGTGCGCTGACTGTAGAAAACATTCGTTATTACCAGTTGAACATTTCCCTTTAGCCCTACGCATGGTCCCATTTCTTGGAGAAAAATAATTTCTGGTGCCGAAACCGGTTTGGCTCAGTGGATAGACTGTGGACTGAGAGGTCCCAGGTTCCGGTCAAGGGCATGTACCTTGGTTGTGGGCACATCCCCAGTGGGGGGTGTGCAGGAGGCAGCTGGTCGATGTTTCTCTCTCATAGATGTTTCTACCGGTAGCTCTCTATCCCTCTCCCTTCCTCTCTGTAAAAAATAAATTAAAAAATCAATTAAATATACTTTAAAAATTAAAAAATTAAAAGTGCAAAAAAGAAAAAAAAAATTCCTGGTGAGGTGCGAGGGCAGAGTCACCAACATGCCGGGAGAGACACGGGGACCGGCGCCAGCGCCCTCGTGCCCCGGGGACCACGTGCGCCCCGCTCCTGCCGCGCGTGCGCACTGCCGCCTCGCCGGGCCTACGTGCCGCGCCTCGGGGCGGCAATGGCGGCGGGCCGGGCCGCACTCCAGCTCCTCCCCGCCAGGGCGGCACCGGCTCCATCGGGCCTGCGCCGGGCGGGTGGCGCGCGCCGGGCGCCGGGCTGCGGGCCGCGAGCACCCCGGAACTGCGCCAGCTCCCTCCCCGCGCCGTCCGCCGCTCGCTCCGAGGCTTCGCGACCTCGGGGCGGGTCCGGGGGTGCCCCGCCCCCGCGCGTTCCGATTGGCTGCGGGGCCCTGCCCTCCCCCGCACCGCGTTCCCATTGGCCGAGCGGCGCCGGGGGTGGGGCCGCGCCGGGGGCGACTACAACAAAGGGCGGCGGGCGGCCGGCGCGGTGACCGCGCTCCCGGGCTTCTGCAGGTCGCGCGCGCCGCCCCGCCCGCCCCGCTCAGATGAAGTGTGAGCACTGCACGCGGAAGGTGGGCCGGGGCGGCCGGGTCGGGGTCAGGGGCCGGGCCTCGCGGTCCGGGTCGGTGCGGCTGGGGGTCAGGGGTCGGGGGCGATCGCCGAGGGGCCGGGAGCCCCGTCCGCGGCGCGGCCTCGGGAGCGTGCGCGGCGCCGCGCCTGGGTCGGCAGCTGCGGCGGCCTCACCGCGGCCTCGGGGCCGGGAGCGGACGCGGGCCGCCCGGATAGGACCGTCTGGGTTCGGTTGGATCCATTCCGACGGGGCTGAGCGCTGACCCTGCCGCGGCCCCGGTGCTGGTGCTGCCGCCGCGGTCCGGGCTCTCCCCCGACTTCGCCGCCGGCTCTGGTTCCGGGATCGCTGACCAGCCATTCAAAATGCTTTTTTTTTAAGCCAAAACCCCCAGAAAAGTAGAACAACCTGTTACCTCCCCGGGCCGTCAGAGCAAACCCCATTGTGGATGTCAACCCTTGATACGATGTTTTTCGTATTTTTGTGTGTGTGTGTGTGTTTTTTTTTTTAAAGTTGGCAAAAATGTAAGTGCTTGTAGTAACAAAACAATACAGAAAAGTGGCCCGCCTCGCCACCTGTGTAACCATGGTAACTCGTTAGCCTTCCACTCTGTTTCTGGGCCGGAATAACATTAATAACCACGCAGTGCAGGCAGAAGGATGGTTTTGTTTTTTGTTTTTTTAACAGTTGATTCACGTTGTAAATGTTACTCCTTCAGATGCTCTCTTTTTTTAACCTAACGTAATGCAGGAAATGGCTTGTCAGAGCATTTCTTGTATGTCTAGTTCGCTGGGTTCTAAGTCCATGTGTGTCCAGGGAGTCCAGCCCTAATTTCCCTATTAATGCAAGGCACCTGGTGTCCGGGTTTCAGCTAATGGGAATGTGCAGGTAAGGTGGTGGGCGGGAACATGTGCCTTCATTTTACTTCGTGTTTAGATATGGTTTCAGGTTTAGATACGGTTTCAAAGAGGAAGAGAGAAACATCAGTGATGAAAGAGAATTGTGGATTGGCTGCCTCCTGCATGCTTTACACTGGGGATCAAGCTCTTAACCCTGGCATGTGCCCTGACCGGAATGGGACCTGGGACCCTTCAGTCCGAAGGCCATTGCTCTATCCACTGAGCCAAACCAGCTGTCCCATGATAAGCAAACTCATTAGTCAACAGAGCCAAATATCAACAGTACAACGATTGAAATTTCTTTTGAGAGCCACATTTTTTAAACCTAAACTTCTAATGCCGCTTCTTCAAAATAGACTCGTCCAGGCCGTGGTATTTTGTGGAAGAGACACACTCAAGGGGCCAAAGAGCCGCATGTGGCTCGAGAGCCACAGTTTGCCGACCACGGATCTAGGGCTACATGTCCTTTTATTTACCTAGAAAACATTTCCATTCACGAGGTTAGGTGACAGAGAGTAGGTATGCGTTTTTTAATTTCAGAGAGTCCAAGTTCTTTTATCTGTTTCTGTGCCTTTTCAAGGAATGTAGCAAAAAAACAAAAACCGATGACCAGGAGAATGCCTCAGCCGATGCCCCGAGTCCGGCCCAGGAGAATGGAGAGGCAAGTCGAGTTTTCCGTTTCGTATCAGCCGGAGGGAGCAGCAGCTGCTGGCTTTCCCCCTGCAGGCTCCTGTCACCCTGTCTCTGTGCTCTGAGAAAGAGAAGTGAGACCAGTGGGAACAGGGCCAAAGAGCTTGTCGCCCCCAAGTACAGCAGAACACTCGTGGGAACAGAGCAGAACGCCATCCTTGGTCATTTGTTAGAAACAGTGGTGTGTGATGCTGAACCCCCAATTCTTTTTTTAAAACCAGAAGTTCCATTCTGTAAAATGGGCGTTAGGTGGGGGATTTATTCAGTGATTCCATTCTCATGGTTCTGTAAATGCATTTCTCTAACAGTTTCTTCACCGGCCCAGTTGTGGGATTTTAAGTCCTTAGCTGGTGGCTTATTGGGCACAAATGCCGAGCTGGACCCCAGAGGAAGTGCTTTGTTGGGGGGGCTCACTGCTTAGGACTGGCATTTCGAGCTGCCCCACTGCCATCCCCACCAAGCAGAGAAGAGGTGGCAGTGGGTAAGGAGGATAGGGCACTGCTCCCTTAGAGGGTCCTGGCACCAGTTCCCCGATGGAGGCGGCAGCCCCGGAGACGCGAGTGCTGTGTCAAAGTGGGTCAGTGGCCTGAGAGGACATTTGTCTGACGGGCATCCGTCTGGTTCCTGTGCTCCAGCACTGCTCTGAGCTCAGGGAGTGCAGGGGGTGAGGCCAGCACCCAGGGTCTAGGGCAGAAAGCAGGGCCTGCCCAGGCCCTGCATGCCTGAGCAGGGGCTTGGGGCCCCGCACCTGCCCTCTGGCTGCATCACCTCGGGCAGCCATCCAATTCTGGGAGCCCCGGTTCCTTATCAGGGACACGGGGAGTTGGGTTACTTCTTCCCTCCCTCTGGGCTTTGGTCACGGCAAGATAACGTGTACACAGCCGAGGCGGGCCCCCCGCCAGCTCGGTGGGTGGACACGCTGTGAGCTTGGGCTCACCAGGCTGGGCTACTGGACTGGGCCCTGGGGGGTGAGAATGGGGTGGGGGGCGAGCCCACCAGGCACACAGAAGGCGTGGACAGAAGTGGTCTGGGGAGGGGTGGTGGGAGCCCCGAGTCTGTCAAGGGTACAGGTCTGATGCGTTGAAGGGCGGCTTCGGCTGGCTGAGCAGAGGGGGCATCGAAGGATCCTCATGAGGAGGCAGTCCTGCGTGGGAGGCAGGGTGTGGGCCTGGGTGGGCCGGCCAGAGTGGCTGAGGGAGGAAGACGGGCCGGGCGCAGGAGTGCGTGTCCTCCCCGTGGGTGTTCGGGGCCGTGCCTGTGCTCCTGCTCCCTGAGACCACGTGGGAGGGTCCTGGGCGAAGAACCAGGCCAGACGTCTATCCTTCGCAGAAGGGAGAGTTCCATAAGCTGGCCGAGGCCAAGGTGTTTCTGAGCGACTGCCTGGCGTGTGACAGCTGTGTGACCGCAGAGGAAGGAGTCCAAGTTTCTCAGCAGAACGCCAAGGACTTCTTCCGTGTTCTGAACCTGAATAAGGTAAGGGGTCCCGTGCTCCCTGGCACCCTGGCCTGCAGGGAGGGTGGGGGTCAAAGCGGGACTCAGAAGCCTCTCCTGGGACTGCATGCAGCCTGGTCCTGGCCCTAGTCACATGCCCTAGCCAACCCTCTGCAGGGTCCCTCCTCAGAGCAAAACCAGCTGGCCCAGCCACCTCCCTCACCGACTGGGCACTGGCTGTGCCGGACCACCGGCCAGGCGCCCCGGATTTGGGGCGCCGAGCCCTGGCCCGTGTGCAGCACAGGAGCCCAGCGCGGGGGGCCGTCCGGCTGGGGCTCGGAGTGGAGCTGCAGTGAGTGTGCAGGGCAGTTGGGGACGGCGCCCGCAGAGCCTCTTCCCAGAGCGTGCAGCTCAGTGGTGCTGCTGTGCAGCCTTCGGTGCAGGGCTGCTCGCCACAGACGTTTGTGTGGACGTGTCCCTCCTCCTCCATGTCTGTCATTTCCCTTTAAAATGATCCTTTTCTTCCAGATATTTGGATTTATCAACACACCATTGTTCTTAAAGTCGACAAAATCTCTTGGGATGGCCCATATCTTAATTGTGATTTTTCTTCAGTTATTCTTGCCAGTGTTTGCCACTTTCCCAGTCTTTACACAAGATTGACTCCTGCCTCCCGCCTGCTCTGGATCCCTCATTAGATGGATCCACCACCCGTGTGACGGTCTTCTCTCTTTCTCCTAGAAATGTGATACCTCACAGCACAAGGTGCTGGCAGTGTCCGTGTGTCCTCAGTCTCTGCCTTATTTTGCTGCTAAATTCAGCCTCAGCGTCACAGATGCATCCAGAAGGCTCTGCGGCTTCCTCAAAAGCCTCGGTGAGGCCTGTGGTGTCACGTGATGTGGGACGGAGCTTGGCCCTGCCTTTTTATACCAGAGTTCAGTTTTCTGGGCTCAGGGTGGGAACGTCTGTGACCCTGCCTCTGACCACGGTGGCCGTGCCGCAGGCCGCTTGCCATGGGGCCCCCCCGGAGCGGCGAGTGACCGGCTTGGACAGGCTGGCCCCGGTCACGTGTCCTGCTGCCCTGGCTCTCGGGGCCCCTGGGTCATCTCTGTTGAGGAGTGACGGCTGCAGGAGTGGCATCTGGTCTCCTGGGAGCTCAGAAGAGCCGGCAGAGGCAGCAGACTGTCCTCTGCGGCCTCCTGTGAAGCAGGAAAGGAAGGCAGTGGCTCGGAGCAGGCAGGGACCCAGATGAGAGGCGCTCTGGAGGGCTCTGCCCGGCAACAGGAGGCTCCCTTGTCCGCTGATGTCCGGCTGGATCTGCCCGCCCTGGAGGCGCACAGCAGGGCCCGGAGCCGGCCCCTGAGCCACCTCCTGACTGTCTTAGAAGCCGAGGCTGTGGTGTGCTCTGCTTCTCCGCAGAGCGAGCTGTTCGGTGCTGTGTGGCCTCAGAGTGAAAGGCCTTCCCTTGACATTTTAAAAAAGTAAACAGGTGGGCATTATTTACTGTTAATACTGAAGAGATCTGCATTCACAGTGGAACTAACTCCTTAAGGTCATGGTTTTAGATCACATTTAGAATATTTACTACATTTCTTTTTTAAATTTTATTTATTTACTTAATTTTTACTGATTTCAGAGAGGAAAGAGATAGAAACATCAATGATGGGAGAGTCATTGATCAGCTGCCTCCTGCACACCCCTTACTGGAGATCGAGCCCACAACCCGGGCTTGTGCCCTTGAATCGAACCTGGAACCTTTCAGTCCGATGCTCTATCCACTGAGCAACACTGGCTGGGGTTACTATATTTCTTAAGGATAACTGGCTGCTTTTAAGGTTTAGACAATTAAACTTATTTGCTTAATTTTTTTTTTTTTTTAGTATATTTTATTGATTTTTTTACAGGGAGGAAGAGAGAGGGATAGAGAGTTAGAAACATTGGTGAGAGAGAATCATCGATCAGCTACCTCTTGCACACCCTGCACTGGGCATGTGCCCGCAACCAAGGTACATGCCCTTGACCGGAATTGAACCCGAGACCCTTGAGTCCGCAGACCGATACTCCATCCACTGAGCCAAACCGGTTTTGACGCTTAATTTTTTTTTAATTATTGAAAATACATTCTTTTATTTCAAGTTTATTCACCAATAGTAAGAAAACTTATTAAGAAAAAGATGGCTAATTAAAAATCAACATAAACTTAAGATCATAAAGGTGTACTCAGCCAGCTTACTCGTTTTATTTATTTCAAAGATGTCAAGAATCATTACCGACTGAAGTTTAGTTTAGACAGTGAATTGGGACAGAATGCCTGGGAAATTCCATTAATCTATGTGCGGAGTACTGTGAGGTGCTTATAAAATGTAGAGAGAAAAGCAGGAAGTAGAAGAGAGTAGGTGTTTTATTATGAAAAATACGTGCTATTGTTTAAGAAAAAATGCTCAGTCCTGTACTTCCGGATCAGTGATGGAGCCAGAGCCGAGGGGAGTGAGTGCCAGGAGGGACGCCTGCAGACTCCGCTCGGCGTGTCCCTCAGGGCCCGAGAAGGGCACCGGCCAGTGTGTGAGCTGCCGCCCTTCCCGCAGGGGTGCACTATGTCTTTGACATGACGATCGCCGCAGACTTCAGCATCCTGGAGAGCCAGAAGGAGTTTGTGCGTCGGTTCCGCCAGCACCGCGAGGAAGAGCCCCAGCTGCCCATGCTGACCTCCGCCTGCCCCGGTGAGCCCCAGGCCGCAGCCGGCGCCGCCGTACCTTCCGGGGAGGCTGGACAGGGTCATGGGAGCTCGGGGTCTCGATGTGGGGCGGGAGCAGCGGAGGAACTGACGCAGCCCGGTCTCTCCCCAGGCTGGGTCCGCTATGCGGAGCGCGTGCTGGGTCACCCCATCACCCCCCACCTCTGCACGGCCAAGTCTCCCCAGCAGATCATGGGCTCCCTGGTGAAGGAGTACTTCGCCAGGCGGCAGGTGAGCGGCCTCTCCCGGAGTCAGCACGAGAGGGGAGCCGGGGCTGCACAGGGGCCGACAGGCAGGAACTGAGGCGAGCCACGGAGGCCCGGCGGCGCCGGTGGGAACGGCCGTGGGATGGCTCCACCCAGAGCGGCGGGCACCGAGGGGGCCGGCGGGGGCAGCTGGGGGGGCTCTCCGCGGCCTGGACAGTGCGCTCGTCTCCACAGAACCTGTCCCCAGACAAGATCTTCCACGTCATCGTGGCCCCGTGTTATGACAAGAAACTGGAGGCTCTCCGAGAAGACGTCCCCACAGCCTCGCACAGTTCCCGGGGCGCTGACTGCGTGTTAACCTCAGGTGAGAGGGGGGGGGCCAGGTGCGGGGGCGAGGGGGCTCTGGCAGGACCAGGACAGTGAGAGGGCAGCACCCTGCTTGCGTGTGTGTGCGTGTGCGTGCGTGCGTGTGTGTGCGTGTGCGTGCGTGCGTGTGTGTGCGTGCGCGTGCGTGCGTGTGTGTGCGTGTGTGTGTGTGCGCACGCGCGTGTGCGTGTGCGTGCGCGTGTGCGTGCATGTGTGCGCGCGCGTGTGTGCGTGTGTGTGCGTGTGTGAGTGTGTGTGAGCGCGTGTGTGCGTGTGCGTGTGCGTGTGTGTGCGCGCGTGTGCGTGCATGTGTGTGTGCGCGCGCGTGTGAGTGTGTGTGTGTGTGTGTGTGTGTGTGTGTGTGAGATTGGCGCACGCGAGATTGGCCCGGGCTGAGGGAGAGACAGGGCATGGGGGGCAGTCCCACCTCGCCATGGAGTTCTGTCAGCCCAGCCTGCACGGGGGCACGTGTGGCGGTTTCTTTCCGTGAAGTGGAAACACGCATGTGCTGCGGGTCGTGCTGCAGCTTGCGCAGGGCCCTGTGCTCGGGTCGAGGGCGTGTGTGGTCAGTGGAGCCCGCGGGAGTCAGGTGCAGAGGGGAGTCCAAAGTGGTTCTGATTGTCGGTTGGTCTCATTGGGCCACAGGACCTCTGTGATGCAGCTCGCTCCCGGTGAGGCTGTCAGAGTTTTCCGCTTGAAAGCAGGGATTGTTTGCAGAGAGCCTCATTTCAAGAGCAAAAGGAGGAATTAGAGCTTCTCTTGTTTTATCTGCATTCTTCATTTTATTGGTGTTACTTTGCACTTGAGGTGGGCCCCCTGCTGTCTGTGAGGGGGACAACAGCCGGAAACGCTGACCTAGACTTTCCCTTGGGGAGAAGGTGACTTTGGGAACTGCCGGAGGACGCGGGGTGTCCGCTGGCCCAGCGCCTCTCTGTGTCCGCAGGTGAGATTGCCCAGATAATGGAGCAGAGTGACCTGTCCGCCAACGACGCCGTTGTGGATACTCTGTAAGTGGCTCTTGCAGGGCGGCCGCCTGTGGATGGGCCTCCCATGGAGTCTTGGGGGTGGTCCCAGGGCTCCTGCGTTACTGGGGGCTGTGCTGAGACGTGGGCACAGGGGCACCTGCCCGGGCGGTTGTCTTAGGGAAACAGCAGATTCCTTAGGTCCCTTTGCACCCAGGTGACCCAGTCAGTGACCGGTGCTCCTGCGTGTCCTGGGCGGGGCACGTGCAGAGCACTCCTGGGCCGCTCGGCGGTCCTGCCCGTAGTGGCACCAGGACTAGGTGTGGCCCTTTTGGGAGGCTGGACTGAGGTTACAGACTCTTAGCCATGCAAGTACCATGGCCCCAGCCTGTGCTTGAGCCAGGCTGACCGTGTACCCGGTCCTGGGGGCTCAGGCAGGCTCAGCCCGGGCTGAGGCTCTGGGGACACCCTGAGGCAGTGCAGCAGCGAAGGGAAGTCACAGGTGGCATTGAGGGTGCTGGGGTCTTGCTGGAGCTGAAGGTTTGTGAAGGGTCTCACTTTCCATGTGGCAGCCCTAGGTCAGGACACGTTGAAATCTGCTGTAATTCTTGTCGCTTTTCTGCCTGACGAGGTTTGGTGACGTGAAGGAGGAGGAGGTGAGGCGCCACGAGGGGGCCAGCTCCGACGGGTACCTGGCGCACATCTTCAGGCACGCAGCCAAGGAGCTGTTCAACGAGGACGTGGGGGCGCTCACCTACCGCAGCCTGAGGTGCGTCTGCTCGCGTGGCCAGCACAGCCTTTGGGGTAGATGTGCATGTGTGGGCATGTCAGCATGCGTGCACGTGTGCATGTGTGTGTGTGTGTCTGTGTGCACGCGTGTGTGCTGGGGCAGGGCTGTCCTGTCTGTAGAGTGGAAATGACAAGCGGCTGAAGTGGACTCGCCAGCCAGGCCCATGTCTGTGTTCCAGGAACAAAGACTTCCAGGAGGTCGCCCTGGAGAGGGACGGGCAGGTGCTGCTGCGCTTCGCGGCTGCGTACGGCTTCCGGAACATCCAGAACGTGGTCCTGAAGCTGAAGCGGGGCAAGTTCCCCTACCACTTCGTGGAGGTCCTGGCCTGCGCCGGGGGTAAGATGGCCACGGCGTCTGGGAGGGGCCCTCGCGCCCGCCCGAGCCTCTCCGTCCCCAAGGCTTTGCCCTCCTTGTCCTGACACATCAGCACCTCCCTCTTCTCACACCCACTGCGTGGGAAGAGAGCAGGTGCTCGGGTGTCACCTTGGAAACCCCTTGGTCCAGCACCCATGCAGTCAGGGCAGAGCTGGGCTGCCTCAGGCTGGGGGTCTGCCTCAGACAAGGGGGAGAGGTGGAGAGAGGCCTGGCCAGGTGGAAATTTGCTTCAAATTCTCCTAAATGAATCTATGTCCTGTGAATCAGGACATCACCTAATGCATTTGAGAGGACGCAGCTCTGTACCGGAGGCCAAGCTTTCGGGCGTGTGAGCTCCTGGGTGGGGGTGGGGGGTGGGGTGGTGGTGAGAGGTGGGGGGAAGGGGGCGCAGCGCACTGTGGGCTGCAGACACCAGGACACGGCTGCTCATGCTATGTCTGTGCTCCTGGTTCGGTGAGTCCAGGGAACTGGAACCAGATGTGCACACACAGCCCTCAGGGCTGAAGGTCAGCGAAGTACTTTGGTTTCAGGTAAAGGCACTTCCTGGGCCGTGGAAACAGGAAAGAGCGGGGTCCCAGACCGAGAGCTAGGCCAGGGGCCCCGGGCCCTCCTCTCCTGCGGGACGGAACGGGGGAGAGTGAGCTCCCGCCTGTCTTTCAGGATGCCTCAGCGGCAGGGGCCAGGCCCAGGCGGAGGACGGGCGTGCGGACAGGGCGCTGCTGCGGCAGATGGAAGGCATCTACGCTGCCATCCCGGTGCGGCCCCCGGAGACCAGTGCCCACGTGCAGGAGCTGTACCAGGAGTGGCTGGGCGGGGCCGACTCCCCTCGGGCCCAGGCGGCCCTGCACACTGCCTACCAGGGCCCAGGGCAGCCTGCCAGCAGTCGGGACATCAAGTGGTAAAGGTCCCGCAGGCGCCTGAGGAGGGTGTCAGACGTGTGAGGAAAGGCTGTGTCTCTGTCATTGCTTTGGTTTTCAGAATTCCCTGCTCCCCTCTGCCGGCTCCCTCCTCTGAGGGGCGCCGCCGTCCTCACATGGTGCATCTGGAATATTGTATCTGGAGAGGAGGACTGCCCCAATGTATGCATCCTTTTATCTGACGATGAAAAAATCCCAAAGAACAATGGAGACAGGCTGCTGTCCTTTAGGCTTAAAAACCTCTAAGTGTCCTGGGAAGAGCTGAGGCTGCGTTCTGTCCACGCACCTCAGAGAGATTGGATGAGGAAATGGCCTGGCTTGGCCCTGACTTGACCCACTTAAGTTATTCTTGAAGGTGTCTTTGCTACAATGTGAATAAACTGCCACCTTTTTAAACAGGCTCATACGGAAGTCTGCATTCCCAACTTTTCTTGAAACCGATCTATGTTCTGTGGCTGTGGCCACCGTCCCAAGACCAGGTCCTGTCGCTGGGAATCGGGGGGCATGAGTGGAGGAGCCCTATTACATTCAGAGATTGAGCTGAACTCACTTTGGGGGTTCACCCTGGTGAGGGTGACAGGTGTCACAGACAGAAGGATAGAGAAGGGAGAGCTGGATTCCCTGCTCGGTCCCTCCCTGGGGGTCATCAAGCAGCCGGGACATTAAGTGGAGAAGGTCCAGAGGAAGGCTGGCCGTCCTCTGTGTCCGCCTCTCTCCCCTGTGGGCCCAGCCACTCCCCTCGGCTCCGGGCAGCCCTCTGCCCCAAACGAGAAGGAAGAGAGCAGTTGATCCACAAATGACCACACAGACAGATGGCAGCCACCAAAGCCCAGCACTGTGCACGGTGGGCCGTCCTGCGGCGTGGGGCCTGTGGCCACCTGTGCTGGTTTCTGGAGCACTTGGTTTTTTTTTTGTTTTTTTTAACATATATATATATATATTTAATATATTTTATTGATTTTTTACAGAGAGGAAGGGAGAGAGATAGAGAGCTAGAAATGTTGATGAGAAAGAAACATTGACCAGCTGCCTCTTGCACACCCCCTACCGGGGATGTGCCCGCAACCAACGTACATGCCCTTGACCGGAATTGAACCCAGGACCTTTCAGTCTGCAGGCCGATGCTCTATCCACTGAGCCACACCGGTTTTGGCTTTTTTTTAATATATTTTTTACATAGAGAGCTAGAAACATCGACCAGCTGCCTCCTGCACCCCTCATCCCTCCCACTGGGGATGTGCCCGCAACCAAGACATGCCCTTGACCGGAATCGAACCCGGGACTTTTCAGTCTGCAGGCCGACGCTCTATCCACTGAGCCACACTGGTTTCGGCGAGCACTTGGATCTTGTTAACATGTGGGTGACATGGTTCTTGAAATCTAACCCTCGGCCTGTTAGATTTCCCTCATTCATGTGTGACTGAACCTGTGTACCATCTGGATTGATGACTGGGACATTGTGTGAAATTACCTATTTTCTGCCTTCACTCTATTTACAGTGGGTCCATCCTATGCAGTAATGTAGATCCATCCATCTCTGATTACGGAATAAACAGTTTGGGTGTCTGGTGTGGGGCACTGGGTGAATGCTGCTGCTCTGCTGCTCTCTCCCCAGCTAGGGCTGCCGTGTGCTCCGGGCTCCACCTCACCGAGTGCTCTCGCCTCTACTGCCCGAGCCAACAGCTGGCCCAGGGGCCTGAGCCTGAGTGAAAGGGGGAGGGGGGCCCTAGAGGGAAGAGGAGGGGACAGAAGGGGAGCCATGTTTCTATACAGAACTGCTTAAAATAGAAGTTCTAAGAAACCTTACTGTTCAGTGGAAGGTGTGGGGGTGGAACAAAAGGCACACACAGGTCCCACTGAGCTTTGAACTCAGATAATTGGATTCAGAGTCCAGAGTGCTAACCATTACACCATGGAACCAGACACTGCTATGGGCCCTCCACATTTTGATGGGGGGACAGGGATGGGAGGGTTCAGCTGAGCCTGAGCTGGCTTATGGGTTGGGATTGAAAAAGAGGTTACCTTGTAGCAGAGGATGGTTATGGGCCCAGCTCACCCCACTGTCCATCCCCAGTGGGGCAGGGCCCACAGGGCCAGGCAGGTGTCATTTCTTCCTTAAAAAACTGCTTAAAATTCAAGTGTTGAGAAATCTTGCTATCCAGCTTTATAACTAGGAAAAACTGCAGTTTCTAAAACAAACTTTCCCCCAGGAACATTCTGGATATAAATCCTTTGAGGAAAAAAAATCCGAATTTGTGTGGAACCTTTTCCTGTAAAAAGTGTCCATGGAGCTACTGTTGCAGATAGCAGGGTGTCCCCTCCATTGAATCAAGAGAAGCACCAGGAGAAAGAAACAGATGGAAACTTCTGGCATCAAACTATGAGGATCAGCCGGGAGGAACTCAATGAAAGGCCTTAGTGAGCAGGGTTAAAGGAAGCCAATTGGGTAAGTGCCCCAAGCTAGCCACAGCCACGAGTGGTCAGAGTGCCGTGGCCTGGGAGCAGTTCCTGGGCCCTATGGCACCTGAGGCTGATGTGTAGAGACCAAGGGAACCAGGCTGTCTTAGCGGAGCACGTGGACCCTGGCCATGCAGGAAGAAGCTGAGGAGAGCCGGCCTTCCCCCCTCTGTGTCCCTTCTCCTTGCCGGCTCCCATGACATATAGCCACTCGGCTCTTTGCCCTCTGCTTCCGGTCGGTTTTAGAGAAGAGAAAGGGGGGTCTAGAGGGCAAACAAAAGACTCCTAGGAGGACCAAGGGAAGCCATCATAACCCCAGATGGACAGCTGCCATGGGCATTGAAGGCAGGACCTGAAGTGAAGGCCTAGGCAAAGCCAGCGGGCAGGGGCTTCTGCAGCACCAGTGACAGCCAGCAGGGTCACAGAGCCCTGGGCTGACCTTCCAGACAGACCTGCTGCTGCCACGGGTGGGGTGTGTGTGTGTGTAGCTCCCTGAAAGGCACCCACTGTGAGCCTGAATCTCCGCCACAGGGTAGAGGGTGTCTTCTGAATCTGAGAAGCCAGGCATTTACGTGCAGTTACAGGTGAAAGGTGGCCCCCGGGGGAAGGCAGGGAAACCCCTCTGAGCAGCACATTCCATCAGCGCCCCCTTGCGGAGCCCCTATAACACAGGGCTGGAGAATTAGTGTCAAGGAGCCTGGCCCATGAGGCACATGGATGGACTCTGGAACAGGACCAGAGTTTGAGAAGATTCAAGGCCCACATGAAAGGGCTCCAGTGCAGGAAAGCTCAATCACGCACAAATAATCTGCAGCTGCCGGTCAGACTCTCCAGCCACCCTAAGGATGCTTGTTTAACCCTCGGACCAAAATGGCCGTGGAGACAGGGAAGGAGACGAGGCCCAGGCTTGACAACATGGACTCCTTTCTCCCCAACCAAGCCTGCCTTGGCTGTGACGCCTGCTGACATATTTAGTGGCCAACAGTAAATCCCAAGCAGGAAGCGGGCACCAGCCGCCCAAGGGCAGGGGCTTCACTGATCCTGTCCCTGGGGAAACCTGCCAGGCCACAGTGGAATAAGCCCCCATTCCAGCCCCTGGGTGTTAGGACCCGCGGTCATGGCGCCCTACACAACACGGCCTTCCCGGAGAAGCCCTTCCTTCCAGCTCCTCACCACCGCAGGCAGCCGCCTCACAAGGCAGTGACCCTTCGAGGTGCCTCACGGGAGCCAAGCGGACAGCACTTGTCCGCTTCTGACGGATACTGCCAATTGCTCACGCGGAGGGCACCGGTTTTCAGCCCCCAGCCCAGGCTAGAGTCGCAGGCAGGGGCCTGTGTGTTCATCCTGCACCCAGTCCCGCGGGTTTGGAGCCCACGGCACAGCTCCGACCGACTGCAGGCGAAGAAAGGAGCAGAGGGCGCCTGTCGCGCCGGAATGTGGCGCACGTGCTTTTCAGAGTAAAAGGAGCTCCGCAGGTGCGAGGCCCGTCCCGGCCATCGGCGGTCACGTGGGCGCGCGGTCACGTGCTATCACCTAGCTGCAACCCCGCCCTTGCAGGAGTGCACGCCTCTGCGCATGCGTACCTGGCGGGGTGGGTGGGGGGCTCTGGGAGCTAGCGGGCGCTTTGGCGGGAAGGAGCGGGATTGGAGATCTAGGGACACGACTAGGGATGCGGCAGGGTGTCCGCCCTTCGTGGGCCATTGATTTACAACCCAACTTCACCACCAGGACCGTGGAAATGGCACCCTTGCATTCCCTGCCCTCCCGGATGGCGGGTCCCTGTGCCCAGGTGCCCGGGCTCCGAGGTCCCATCCACCCTTCGCCCCGCTCCCCACTCCACGCCCACTGTCCCACTGGAGGTGGGAGGGCAGGAGGCCTCAAACTTGTGCAGTTTGGAGCACCCTTTAAAAAACAACAACAACAAAAAACAACCCAAATACATATTTTTATTGATTTCAGAGAGGAAGGAGAGGGAGAGAGAGAGAAATATCAATGATGAGAATCATTGATGGTGCCTCCTGTGCGTCCCACACTGGGGATAAGCCCACAACCTGGGCATGTGACCTGGTCCATAGGTCCACACGGTTGGGGCTGGAGCACCCTTTTTAAGAGAAAAAGTACAAAAAATTTTACTAATTAACCCTTAATTAGTACACACATATCTTTTCCTAATTTTTTGGGTGCAGACTTGATACAGCAGTGATTTGGTAGAACTTTTGATAGAGTGAACAGGGAGATAATTCAATCTTTGCAGGTGGGTCGAATTTTGACTTTTATTAATACTTTGGAAAAGACTGTCAGTTTTGCATTCTTCCTACTAAAGCCACATAAACTTTTAGGATTGCTGTCCAATTTGGCCAAACCTCTCCTGTGAGAGCCAGGGGGTTTCAGAGGTTTCAGGTGTCTGGCTGCAGGGACTGGTCTGCAATATCCCCAGGCCTCAGAGTGGCTAATTATGAACTTTGTGTCATTGGTTTTTTGTTGTTGTTGTTGTTTTTAAGTATATTTTTATTGATTTCAGAGAGGAAAGGTGATGGAGCAAGAGACAGAAACATCAATGATGAGAGAGAATCATGGATTGGCTGTCTCCAGCATGCCCCACGTTGGGGATCAGCCTGCAACCCGGTCAGGTGCCCTGACTGGGAATCGAACCGTGACCTCCTGGTTCATAGGTTGATGCTCAACCACTGAGCTATGCTGGCCGGGCCATTTTGTGTTATTATTGATAGCAGCATTTCACGTCAAATCCGGAAGAAATGGGAACTGCTTTCTTTTTGTGATTCACTCGTCGTTCCTATTTGAATCATATACACGCTGCCCGTTTCTTTGCCCTGTGAGAAGGAGCCCGCCACTGTGTTCCCTGGCTCTGGCCTTTCAGGGCTCAGGTCACATGCCTCCTCCTCCTCCTCTGGCCTTCCTGCCCACGTCTGGTCCCTCACCCCACCTTACAGCACCCGCTGCGTCTGTATTCCCACATCCTCCAGCCAGACGCACACCCCGAGGCAGGCCTTCTTTCCTCGCACCTGTGTCTGCATGTGTCTGGTGCTCAGGACACCTCCTCCTGGATAAAACCACACGCCTTGCCCAGCCAGCATGGCTCTGTGGTTGAGCACTGACCTATGAACCAGGAGGTCACGGTTCGATTCCGGCCGGAGCACATGCCAGGGCTGTGAGCTCAATCCCCAGTGTGGAGCGCGCAGGAGGCAGCTAATCCATGATTCTCTCTCATCATTGATGTTTCTGTCTCTAGCTCCTTCTCCCTTCCTCTCTGAAAGCAATAAAAATAATGAATAAATAAATAAATAACAAAAGAAACCACACGCTTTGTAAAACTCGGTCTGGGGTCTCCACTCCTGTCTGCAGCTCCCACAGCGACACCGCCTACCTCGGGAGCATCTGCTGGTGCGGCTGGTCCCCTCAGACACCCCCCTCGGCAGGCTGGCTTCCTTCTGGTCCTCTGGTCGCCCCCCCCCCCCCCACACACACACCCCGCGGCTGCACCCTGGGACGTGGCTGCCTGGCTTGCTCGCTGCTGCAGGGAGGGCGCCCAAGGACCGGCCGTGCGCGCTGCGCCCCGGTCCGGAGCGTGTTCCAGGCGCCCACGCGCGTCTGCGGGGCTTTCACTGGTTACGGAACATCCGGACCACGACATTCTCCATGCCGGGACGCCTGCCGGTCACTGTAACGGCGGCCAGACCTGACAACGTGGAAGCCGTCAGTGCGGATGGTCTCAGACGGTAGCCGCTGGTTCGCAGGGGGCAGTGCCCGCCGCTGGAGGCTCTGCAGTGACAGCAGAGACCGCGGGCGCTGCAGCCCATGGGCGGGCGCGTCCGACCCGACCGAGCCGCTGCCCCGGAGCAGGTGCCCCAGCCCAGCCGCCCGCACGACCTTGACCCGGCCCTCGCCCCCGCCCCGCCGGCCCCGCGCCGCTCCCCGCTCCCCGCTCCCGGGCCACTCCGCTCCGCCCCAGGTTTTCCAGGCCGCCCAGCCGCCTGCGTCGGGCGTCGCGGCGGGACGTGCGACGCCGGGCGACGTGCCTCGCCATTGGCTGCCGCCGGTAACCCCACTGCCGTGCGTCGCCCCCATAGGCGGGCTCGCCCGTCCGTCAGCGGCCCGGCGCCGCACGAGCGCGCCGCGCGTGTCCCGCCCCTCGCCGCCGCTCGTCGCTCGCCGGCCGGCGGCCTCGCTGGGCCTCAGCTCCGTGGCGGCGGCGGCGGAAGGCGCCGGCCCGCGCAGGCCCATGGCGGCGGCCGCGGCGCTCCCGGGCGCGGGCGGGCCTCCCGCGGGCGGCGGGGCCGGCGGCGGCGGCGCGGGCGGCGGGTCCCCGCCGGGCGGCTGGGCCGTGGCGCGCCTCGAGGGCCGCGAGTTCGAGTACCTGATGAAGAAGCGCTCGGTGACCATCGGCCGCAACTCGTCGCAGGGCTCGGTGGACGTGAGCATGGGCCACTCGAGCTTCATCTCCCGGCGCCACCTGGAGATCTTCACGCCCCCGGGCGGCGGCCATGGCGGGGCGGCCCCCGACTCCTCCACGCAGCCCGGGCCCGACGCCGGCGGCGACTTCTACCTGCGCTGCCTCGGCAAGAACGGCGTGTTCGTGGACGGCGTGTTCCAGAGGCGCGGGGCGCCGCCGCTGCAGCTGCCGCGCGTGTGAGTGGGGGCCGGGCCCGAGGCGCGCCCCCCGGGAGGACCCCGACCCCGACCCCGACCCGCCCATCCTGCCCGCGGCCCGCACCCGGCCGCCCTCCTCTCACCCACGACCGACCCCCACCCGTCACCCGGCTGGACCCCAACCCGGGCTTCGTGCACCCCGCTCACCAGGGCGCAGAGTGCAGCCGCAGCCGGCGACCCCGTCCGCCCCGCAGAAGCTCAGGCTTCAGGCTTAGGCACCTGTGCACGTGGGTCCGGGGTGTTGGTTGTTATTATTGTTATTATTATTTTTGCTCCTCTGTGTGTGGTGGGAGTTTGCATGCATTTTTCACAGCCAGCGCGTAGGCAGAACGTTAAGCTAGTCGGTGGCACTGCCAGAAGGAAAACTGCCTTTTCTTTCCTGCCGGGGCCGGGGTCCTGTCAGTCCTTCCCTTTCCGCAGGCTCTGGCAGAGTTACTCCGAGAGCGTGATCTGGGAGCTGCGGGTCCCCCTTGCCCCAGGCCCGCCCGCGTCCCGCAGCCTGGGGATGGTGCGTTTTTAGGTCTTTGCCGGAACCTTGGAATTTCGGGGAAAGGGGACACTTTTGACACGACTTCCTAAAAGTCAGGTGCTTTGCGAGGCCTGAACAGTGTTTGTCAAGGGAGCTGGGAGCTGCCTCGCCGTCCGACCCCCTCGGGCCTGTGGTTCCACGAAGTCACCTGCCTGGAAGCCCCTTGCTCTTGGGGGGCGCCGTCACTCCTCAGGGGTCCGGGCTGACGGTGGCGAGGGGAATGCCCCTGCTTTTAGCCGCTCTTGGCTTCCGTGGCGTGTGCTGTGCGATGCCGCGCAGCCTGGGACGCGCCCCGTGCCTTCCCAGCCGGATGGGAGCTGTTCCGCCCACAGCGCTGCCCAGCACCGAGGTGTGGGGCGTGCTGTTCGCAAGGACCATGTCACAACAGTCAGGATGTTGTGTCTTCACTCTGAGGAGGTTGAAATTTTTTTAAAAGAGAATTCTTGTTACCTCTCTGCCTATAACATTCGTGTCGACATGCTCAACATGGAAGTAGTTTGGCCTTTTGGTGAGAGAGCGGAATTCATACTTTCTGAGAGGCAGGTGAGCCTTGCAGAGAGAGGACTCAGAAAGCGGTGGGTGGGGTGGAGTGGAGTGGGGTGGGCGGACCTGGGCCCGGCCCCTCTGCCCACCCAGGGGGTGCTCCTTTTTCAGAGAAGGGAGTTTTGCATTTGCAACATAAATAAGTGGGTGACTGTACGACTTGGCAGCAGCTTCCTTTTTGCAAGGCATCATTTTTAAGGTTTTTATTGTAGGGAGGTAACTACAGGTTGATGGGATAAATTGGGTAAAGACGGTTGGCACTAGCTAAATGTAGACAAACTTTTAAAAATTCTTCTTGAAATTAAACTCATTTTTATGCTACAAGTTCTTTGAAGTTAAAACATCAAATTGTGTAAGTTTGAAAGCACAGGTAATGTGGAGCAGTTCTGCAGAGGTTGGATATCCTATTATTTCAAATTCGCCTACTGAATTGACAGTCACTGTGGAGTTAAAAAGTAGGACACCCCATGGTTGGTCTGTTACTTGAATGACAAGGATTTTATTCTAATTCCAACATTAAGATGAATGTACATTTTGTAGTTAGTATTAAACATTTACATACAGAGTAGAGTATATGAGTAGTTTAGGCTTAAATTGTGCTTCATCATTTTTTTTTTAATGTATCTTTTTTAAATATGTTTCATTGATTTTTTACAGAGAGGAAGAGAGAGGGATAGAGAGTTAGAAACATTGATGAGAGAGAATCATCGATCAGCTGCCTCTGGCACACCCACCACTGGGGATGTGCCCACAACCAAGTTACATGCCCTTGACCGGAATCGAACCCGGGAGTCCACAGGCCGATGCTCTATCCACTGAGCCAAACCGGTTTCGGCCGTGCTTCATCATTTTATTAAAATACCAAATGTAGCCGAAACCGGTTTGGCGTCGGTCTGAGGACTCAAGGGTCCCAGGTCCCATTCCGGTCAAGGGCATGTACATTGGTTGCTGGCGGTGGGGGGTGTGCAGGAGGCGGCTGGTCGATGTGTCTCTCTCATCGATGTTTCTCTCTCTCTATCCCTCTCCCTTCCTCTCTGTGAAAAATCAATAAAATATATTTAAAAAAAGAATTATTAAAATACCAAATGTACTAATTTGGGGGGAATAGATAAAGATGAGGATGTGATGAGTATTCTTAATGGTTTGAGTAAGATGTGACTAGGAGCACCTCTTCCTCAGTGGTTGGTGAGCCCCGTGCCCAGCATGGAGCAGTGTGTGTGTGTGTGTGTGTGTGTTTGTGTTTGTGTACGTGTGTACGCACGCATGTGGAGAGAGGGCGGGATGGCAGAGATGAGAGTTATGTACAAGAATGCCAGGGCCTGTGGTTTTCCAGAAAACAAGTGATTTCCACAACGTATGCAGGGCTAAGATAAAAAGAAAAGCATCGTTTTATCCCCAAGAGTGTCTGACTTGGCTGGAGGTGCAGGAGTTACTGGTGTGAGCTCGGTGGGGAGCCCTGGGTGACCCGGGCAGGGCTTCTGGACGTGGGCAGGTTGAGTGGCTTTGTGGGCGTGGCGGGGCTGGAGGGGCTGGAGGAGCCTGGGGGCGAGCTGTGGAGCCTGAGGGTTGCCGGGGCTGGTGGGGGGGCTGGTGGGGGATCGGCTTTCAGAGGCAGAGACAGAATGAAGACTGTCCTCTTGAGGACAGGCTCCGCCTTTGTCTGTGGACCTGGTCTGGGCTGAGTGAGCAGTGAAGTGTTGTAGCTAGATTGGTTGGACAGGAATGTCTGACTGTGTTGTTACTCTTGTTGCCATGGTAGCAAGCAAAGTATAATTTATAAGTAATAAGCAATTCTTTAACAATTGTTCATACTTTGAGATGTCCACTGAATTTTACGTTATTTTTTATCAATAAGAGCCTACAGTATCTAGTAGCCAACATAAACAGAAGAAGTTGGATTTATTATTGTTCCAAACTATTTAACATGCAGAAGTGCCACTGTTTATTTTGAAGGGTGGCCGTGTTCCTAGGCTAAACGAGCTGTCAGTGATCCAGCAGCCCCGCCTTTTCGATGTGGCGAGTTTTAGCTTGCAGGTCATGCTCGGTGATGTCACACGTGCAGACTTTCTCACTGAGTTAGAGGTGGCGTCCTGTGAGGTGGGACTGGAAAGAGGCCACGGACAGTGGCTTCCGGAGCTTTCCCGGGGAGCTCCAGGAACTCACAGGCTGGGTCTTGCTCAGAAACAGGGATGGGGCAGAACTGAGGTTCCCAGAGAACAGCAGACCACAAAGAGGGCAGTGATGGGGGCCTGCGGAGAGCGGTCTCAGGAAAGGACAGCGCCCTGCAGCACAGTGGTCAGTCAGGACGTTTACGACGAGGAAGGAGGCTGCCTGTGAGGTGGGGATGGAGGAGGCAGTGGCGTAAGAAGTGTTTGTGGGGTGGGAGTGGTATTGTAAGGAAAGCGGAGAGGTTGGGTAGGAGGCGTGGAGACCCTGTGGATGGCCAGTGTGCAGTGGTGAGGGAACCACTGAGAGATGAAGCAGAGGCCCAGATGGCCAGGGAGCGGACACAGACCATCTTCACAGAGGTGTGAAGGAGGCAGAGTTCCCAGGAGAGGAAGATTAAATGGGGTGTCTTGTTTGAAGACCCGACAGAGCCAGAGCCACTAGTGGGCCTTTTCCTTTGTTCATTCACTTAAGTTTTTTTTATGTCCCTCCCCCGGCCCCCCCTGCTTTTGGCAGCCGCCAGCTTATTCTTTGCATCAGCGGTGCCCTTGGGTTGTGGGGTTGGCTGAACCCCTTCACTTTATGACCTGAGACTCTGACTAGCTTGTTGGCAGAGCTGAGAGTGGGTTTCAGGAGGCAGACTCTGGGACTCACGAGTGGAGGCAGATGCACACTGCAGAGGGGCAGAGGAGCTTTGCACTGTGAAGTCTCAGGGTACAAATTAACTACTTTTAGTGACCAATATGCATTTTTCTTTAAAAGCTACAGCATGCTTTCATTTGGCAAATGGATATACATTTTTATCACTGGTTTGTAGACATCGGGGGACACCGTGCAGCTATTTTAGCATAATTGTTACTTGACTAAGTTAAAAACAACCACCACCAGCTCACTTCTTCACTGAGTGTTTAGTAGTTTTTCCGGGGGTAAAACTGTTGATTTTAATGTTCACTTAATGAGTAGTTTAAGACGGTTGAGGTTTTAAAGCATTTGAATTCCTAATACGTTTGAGGAACAAACCTACGTGGTGGGACTTGTGTGCCCACTCACTGTATCCGGACGCGGTGAGGATAGCTCTGGAGCTGGACTGCCTGCGTTCTAGTTCCCTCGCCGGTGACATGGGATCATAACTGCCTGTCGTCATGGGACACAATTAGTACAGTGCCTGTACCCCTGCTCGACATGGGTTTGTCCATCACCGTGTCCTGGGGTGGAGGGGCCGTGGGGACCCAGGGTGACACGCATGTGATGTGGTCAGCGTCAGCTGGCAGCCAGCCTGGAGAGGTCCATCACGGTGTGTGTGTGTGCGCGTGTGCGTGTGCACGTGTGCAAGCACCCACCCTCCCCAAGGCTCCTTCCAACCTGTCAGCTCATCACAAACATTCCTGTTTCCGGGGAAGAGGAAGGGTGCTCTGCCTGGGCTCCATCAGGAAACTGATGGGAGGGACAGTGTTCATCACAGCGGTCCATCGTAGAGCTTTGCCCTTTACAGTGCACTGTTTTCTTAAACGGCCTTTTTGATGTGTGAGAACCACATACGCTTTTGGAATCTGGGCCAAGGTTTCTTTCTGGGGCTTCCCTGCAGGTCTCCAGGCAGGTGAGTTGCTGGGGGGTGCCTGGGAGTGACGGGTCCGGGAGCCCCTTTCGCTGCGAGGCTCTCTTCTCACTCAGCTCTCTCCCTGCTGCTCCTCCCAGGGGGGACCAGGTCCTAGAGGTGGCTCAGAGCCAACACCTGTGCCCA